AGGAGGGGCTGTCAAGAACAGGGAAAGGCAGGAGGCTTAGGCAGTACTTATCTGAAGTGTGTCTGAGCTGTTTGAGGAGAATCCAAGTCGACTTCCTGGAGCTTACAAGAATTTTTTGGGTTTGTGAAAAGTTAAGTTTTAAAAGCACATTAGCATCCCCACTGTCCATATTCTCTACTGAAATCTGCATTGTAGAAACTGCTGTATACTCATGGCAGAAAAATGATTTTGGTTGAAAGCATTAACATTCTTTATTCTATCCAGAAAATTGTGACAGATATTATTAGCACAATGAAAAGCACCTTTTAAGTCTATAGTTAGGAAACAGCCAAAGGAAGTTTGAAATCTTGAGCTTGTGGCTATGATGATAGTGGTAGTACTCTGCCAGAGCCCGATTCATAGCTTATCAGAATTCTGTTGATTAATGTGAAGACTATGAACTTTTGGAGTCTTAATATAACAGTTGCATAATGAGAGAGGGAAATCTGGAACATGTTTTATTTCTCTTTATCCTCAGACCTTAATAACTTGCACATGTACACCTTAATAACTTACATGTGAGCACCTTAATAACTTTATTTGCACACCTTAAAAAAACCTTCTTAGACCCTAAAACATTCTTAGATTTTCACACCTCCAGTTTTCCTATCGTTATGTAAATAAACCGGAAGCACCTGTTCCTTTCCTTTGTCATGGCATCACCTTAACACTCAGGAGACTCTGGTGGTTGATCGCTGAGGGCAGTCATTGCAAAGTAAGTTTCTTTAAACAAAGGAATACTAAGTTACATTGAAATTTGTTTTGTGAGTTTATCTCTTTTCTGAGTCCAGTAACGAGGTAGATTGTATCTGGACTTAGCATCAGCTCTAGGAGAGCAAGGCCTGTAACCTGAACTTTACACAGGGAAGAGAACTGCGAAGGCATTTGAAGCCTTGGTTGCTGCTGTTAAAACGCTACCAGTCATCAAACAGCATCAGAGTTCTGAGAGGAATAAAATTTTACCTGGATTAGCAATTAAAAATGACTCGTTTGACTACCTAGACAAGTCACCGCAGGGTCCTCCATGGTCACTGAGGGCAAAGGTCTCAGGGCAACATTCGTGTTTGGCTGGCAGAGGTAGGCCTGTAAGGTCCCAGAAGATCCCACAGGCTTCTGTGGAGTAAGGACTCATGGGAGGACCAGCCTACCTTTGTCTGGGCAACTCGAGGCAGTCAATTCCCTGGTGTCCTGTTGTCCACGGTCTGAAGAGGATCTTAGCAGCAGTGGAGGTGAAAGGCGGTTTTGCTCAGTGGTCAGTGTCGCCACTTACGAAGCAAGTTCCGGGTGGAGGTTCTTCTGTTCCAATTCATCATCTTTGGAGGAAATAGGGATGCTGCCAGGAGCTGGCTTGTCTCTCTATTATGAAAAGCCTTTTAAATTAAACATTTTAAATGCCATATTCTGCAGATCTCTGAGCATTTGAGGACTGTCTGTCTCTTGGGTATATCATATCTGAGTAGGCAAACTTTGTCTTCAGCTACTTGTTTCCTTATGTCTGAAAACATATAGAGGACTGCATAGGGCTTACCTCTATAATTAATTACATCAGTACCCAGCGTGACCACAATTAAAGAGCTTGCTCATGTATAAGATGACTCTTAACTTGTGGTCTTCAATAGTCTACAGTAGGCTAGCAGCTTCCATAAGACTAAGAGTTCACATTACATTCCTGCCAGATTTAGTCTTAAAAGTAATCATTTTGAATTGAAGTTCTTCTAGGATCAAAATAAAACATTTTACTTGTAGATGATGAGTTCGGTAAAGAAATCAAGATAGCCATTCTGTGGGTAAAACTGAACCAGTTTGTACCAAACTGAGACTGTTTCCTGAGAAGGCAAGAAAAAGCAATAAGGGGAAGATCCCAGGGCCAAACGGGGACAGGAGAAAAGGGGGCTTGTAAATTGGGGTGTGGCCCATGAGCAGGGATTGAGGAATCACAGAGATGAGTACTGCCTTTGATAAGCCATGGGGGCCTTGACCCAAATGCCCAACTCTGGGAAAAGGACCCTCTCTGGGGACCAGTCATTTTATTACAGATTAGATATCTTATTTATCAAACAAGTTGCCACTTATTTAGATTCTCTAGAAGCTTGGTGTTGACATTTGGCAAAGACATAAGATGAAAGGTAGAGCCACCAGTGAATGAGAAAGCAGGTTTGTTTTAAGTGGGAAAGGGCAGGTCTATTTCAGGCTGAGCAGGCGGGGAAGGGTTTCTGCTTGAAGTGGGTGCCTCTGGCAGGCCCTGCCAAGGCATGCCACGAAGCAAACACACCCGCACCGAGTCGGTGTGAGAAGGAAAGACAAGGTTGTGAGTAGAAGGTGGGAGACAAGGCAGAGAATGAACTCTCAGACCTTAAAGATCCAGTTGGGGTGTGCCGTAGGGTGTGCCCACTGAGCTTTCCTGACCAGGAATGCTATATGTAGAAATCCTCAGTAATACGACTGTGCAGCCCCACACTCCTAAGCGTCATTGACTCAGCAGAAAGGGAGACTATCAGGAGACTCAGTATTCACTTAAGCCGGAATTTGGCACTCATACCCCTCGGAGGAAACTTCGATGTTGTGGCTAGTCCATTGGCAGATGACCTCATTCATGGCAATAATGGTCTTTTGTTTACGTATGGTGTGACCGGAAGTGGAAAAACTCACACAACGGTAGGTTCTCTGGGGTATGAGGCCTGCTTCCTCGTTGTTCAAATATGATTTTTTTCTTAAAGATTTATTTATTTATTATGTATACAACATTCCTTCCATGTATGCTTGCCCGCCAGAAGAGGGCATCAGATCTCATTATAGATGGCTGTGAGCCACCATGTGGTTGCTGGGAATTGAACTCAGGACCTCTGGAAGAGCAGTCAGTGCTCTTAACCGCTGAGCCATCTCTCCAGACCAGCATAGGGTCATTTTGAGCCAAATGTTCTGTTTTTAAATCTAAGGAAAGGAAGAGCATGGAAATATAGTGTGACATTGACGCCCTATTAGATCAGCAGAGAAGAAAAGCCACGCCCATCTCAGGGATGCCCTTTAGGGAGCAACAAGCAGATCCAAAATGTGTAGATATGATAAATGTACAAGAATTCTGCAAGGCAGAAGCTGATGAAGACAACATCTATAGTGTATTATTCTCTTACATTGAAATCTATAATAATTACATATATGATCCATTGCGAGAGGTGCAGTTTAATCCCATAAAGCCCAGCCTCCCACAATCTAAAATACTGCGAGCAATATGTATATTGCAGGTGCTAGGTATTTTTCTTAAGATGAGCCTCTCCACTGACACAAATAATTCCAATCAGACCAAATCAGACTGAATAAATGATGCCCACGTTTAATGCAGCAGCTCCCCCCTCCCACCCCAGCATGACAAGCAGCCTAAATAGCCTGTGGGAGTGTGGTCAGCACTTGGTGGGCATTCCCGGAGGTGGAGTCCGGCCCAAGGGGAGGGGGCTCCCAAATATGGATGCCGGGTATTACAGCAAGATGTACAGAAAAAGAAGTGAAATCTACAGAAGAGGCTTTTGTCGTTTTTGGAGAAGTCGGAAAAAGAGATGTATTATTAACACCCGCCTGCCAAGGTCCACCTCGAGCCGTTTCCTAACACTGACAGCATGCAGCACAGGGCCAGAGAGAAGAGAGATGGCAAGGAACATTACATGGGAAAGACAAAGGAAGTTAGAGAGATGGGAGGATATGGCTAAGCAGACCCTTCTGGAACAGGAATGTGGTTCAGTGGGCAGTGTGCGCTTGCTTAGCATATGCAAAGCCTTGAGTTCAATCCTGAACAAAGAGGCCAAACACACAACTGTTCCCACCCTGTCTGGGCCTTCTTTCAGCTGTCTCCTTACTGCTACCCTTTGATCCTTGTGGGTTTTTTGGTTGTTTTGGATCCAGCTCTGGGTTGGTGAGTGCACAGCTTTTGTGAGGTGCCAATTTCCCTGAGGATGTGCAGATGTCCCGGAAAGTATTCCCAACTTCACACCAAGTCCCCTTCCCGAATATCCCTGAAGCTGCTGTGCCACTCCGGTCGGCATGTTTCAACCCCACCTCCTCCGTACAAGCTAGGAAATGACTAAAGCCGTCTGGTTGAGAAGCAGCCAGCCCAACCGGGAAGAAGCTGGGCACTGCACTCAACACCAAAACCTGTTTTTCTTCTATTGTGCCCTACCTGAGGCCATGTTTGTCAGCTGCTCCATGCTGACCCTTGTAAAAGAGGCACCTGCTCCCGAGCTCAAGCCTTCTAGCTACTAATGTTATTCGAGGTTTAGATGGCGCCCCAAGCACTATATAGTCATGTTTCTGGTCTTTCTAGACTTCTCAGTTCTGATCCTGTCAGAGCCTGTGGCCTAGAAGCGGGCACTCTCTCCACTGACAGAACAATTTATAGTTACAAGATTACCGAACCGGTATGGCACAGCGCAGACCTGTAATCCCAGCACGCAGGAAGCTGATACTGGAAGATCTCCAGGTCAAGTGCAGCCTGGGGACTACACAGTAGGTTCTAGGCTAACCTAGCTTCACCGGAGAGAGGAGAAAATGAGACTGCACAGACTTTCATTCACGGCTTAGCTTCAGCGGAGAACGACAGTACAAACAAACGTTCCTCCACTGCTTCTCTCCAGGCCGTGAGGATGGATGGGACCCGCTGGCTCTGCCACCCAGTAGGAAGAACGTGTGACCGTGGGAGGAGCCGGCAGCGAGATGCTGGCGGGTACGGTGGGTAAGCGCGCTGCCCCCTGCGCAAAGCCTGGCGCTTCTGTTCTACACAGCAGACTAACTGAGAGCTGAAGGACTGCAGAAAGGAGACGCTACGTCCGCGCATGCGCCGGCCGCCCCGGGCCTCTAGGTGAGAACCCGGAGGGTCCTGACGCGCCGCTGGAGCGTCAGAGCGAGGGAGAACGGCGCGTGCGCCCGCTTTGTGGGCGGAGTCTATGTGCGGAGGGGGCGTGGCCTTCGTCACGCGCAGCCCCGCCCCTCGGTCTCCGGGAGGCGGCAACCGCTTCTCCTTGTCTCTTCCCGGTTGTCGGGGATTGCCTCACCTCGGTTCTCGGTGACCATGGGGGACCCCAGCAAGCAGGACATCCTGGCCATCTTCAAGCGCCTACGTTCGGTGCCCACTAACAAGGTAACGGCCCCAGGCGGGCTCGGGACCCCACGGCTCGCTGGACCCCGGTGTGGCCACGGCCATGGGAGGAGCCGCCCGGCCTGTGACACGTCGCACTGTGGGCCTGGCAGCTGCCGCTCCCCAACCTTCGCCAGCGAGGGGCGGAAGGGGGGGCACACACCAGGGGCTTGGCAACGGAGTACGGGGTCCAGTGAGAGCCTGGCTAGAGGCCCTAGGGGCCTAGGGAGGACTTGAGACATGGGCATCTAGAGGATGTACAGAAGCACAGAGCAGAACACCTGGGAGCACAGAGAGGGCCGGGGCATGGACGTCTGGGGTATCCCGCACCGGAGGACAGAGCACCTGGGCGTAGACAGAGGATGGCGGCATGGGCATCTGGAGATGTCTAGGGCAGAGAGAGAAGTGGGGTATGGGCCTCTCGGGATGGCCAGGATCAGAGGCCAGTACCTGGGGACTCGGAGAGAGAGAACCGGTTCATGGCATCTGGGGGTGCCTAGGTCTGGAGACCAGAGCACCTTGACCCAGAAGCACAGACAAGGTGGGGTGGGGAGAGCAGGGAGTGGAAGTTCGCCTGTCCATTGGATAGCTGATCTCTGAGAAAGCTCGAGAGGCATACACTCTGCCTCCCGTGAGCTGAGGGGGAACACTACAGCCACCTAGACCAGGGGGGAAGCATGTCTAGGGGTCAGAACATTCTGGGCTCTGGGAAAGAAGGAATTATCCCCACCATGGACCTTGTCTTTAGTGTTTCTCAGGACTCATGACCTGCTGGATACTGATCCCATTGTCCTTTGGTGGCATCCCGTTTCCAAATCCAGTAAAGCTAAGGTTCTCTGCCCTGGATGCCAGCTTTCTGTGTTTCTAAGGAAGTCCACCAAAGTTCACCCTCATCCCTTCAGAGGTTGAGGTCCACCCCTCCAATTTTTTTTTCCCTGTAAGCGTCCCCACCCCACCCCCACTGTACCTCATAACGTTCAGCACGTGGCAGGCAGTGTTGTTATGATACACAGGGTTAAAGTGACCACTTCCCTGGGATGACGGAGCAGGGTGGAACCTGGAGAGTACAAAGGGCTGTCGTGTCACCGTGGACTCTCCCCACCCTCTTGGAGTTCAGTCTGGTCTCTACCTCCACCTCCAAGGAAACATCTGGTAACCGAGCACAGCCATGAGTCCTGAACTGGTGGCCTAGAAAGCTCCAACGTTTTATAAAACCCAGGCATTTTAGGTCTTGATGGTGGGAGTCCGGGTTTTTATAGGCTTCTAGTGAGGGAAATGGTTAATTGGGGTGATAATGTCTGGTGAGTGCAGGGACGAGGAGACAGCTTCCAGGCACTCTCCAGTGTCTGTTGCTTTACTATTTCCTTGATTTTTCTTCAAATGAAGATTGATCTGTGTGTAGCAGGGACTTGCTTGTTACCACACACGATTGGATGTGCAGCTGGCAGGGAGGAAAATACATTTGCTAGTGCTTTCTCTCCCCGTCACACCAGTATGTATTCTCTTTGAAGTCCTCAGAAAGACGCTGCAAAATAAGAAAGATAAAAAGCAAGAAACAGCAACAAAAAGGGAAGGTGTTCCCTTTAAATAAAAAGTCGGTGTCATGATATCAAGAGACACGTTTAAGGAACCCATGTGGCCTTGCTTGCGTATTAAAATGTCGTTGGTCATGGTGGCATATGCTGTAATCCCACCACTTGGGAGGTGAAGCGAGAAAGATCAGGAGTTCAGGGGCAGCCTCAGCTCCATAGCAAGTTCTAGTGTGCCTGGGCTACATGAGACTCTCTCTCAAAAAAATTAAAATTATTGTCCATGGGCATGATGGTACATACTTACAATTCCAGCCCTTGGGAGTCTGAGGCAGTTGTTTTTCCAATAGTTAAAGAACAGCTTAAGCTACGTAGTGGATTTCTGGTTAGTCTGGTTACAAAGTGAGACCTGCCCTAAAATGTACGTACACACACACACACACACACACACACACACACACACACTATATATATATATATGGGGGGAGTGCTGCTGTGTTCTAGCTTTACCATGCTGAAGCACATCCCTTGTCCACTTTGCACTTTATTTTCATTGTCTGAGAATGTGATTTTGAACTGGATCTAACTGAAAGGGTGGTTGTAAAGATTAGATTAGATTAGATGATCCAAGAAAACCCTGTTGTGACTTTAGTCTACATGAATGAAGCCATTGTTTCCATTTTATTCTAAGAGCACACCTGTGGATATATTATGTTCTGTAATATGATTTGTTTGTTTTTTTGAGACAGGGTTTCTCTGTGTAGCCCTGGCTGTCCTGGAACTAGCTCTGTAGGCCAGGCTAGCCTCAAACTCACAGAGATCTGCGTGACTCTGCCTTCCGAGTGCTGGGTTTAAAGGCGTGCACCACCACTGCCTAGCTTGTGATAAGATTTCTAACGCAAGATGCCAGAGTAGCTTCTGGTCATGTCTCGTGGCACTTGGCTCTGCTTTATGGTCTTAGCTTGAAACTGTTGATGATGAAATGGCTTGAAGCCATGAAGAACAGTAAAAACTTGTTTTAATTGCTAGAAGGACTGGTTAACAACAAGCCCCTCCCTTTTTCTGTAGTACTGGGGTTTGAACCTAGGGCCTTGTGTATTCTAGACAAACACTTTGCCATTGAGCTGTAGCTCTCCCACTCACATTTCTCTCTCTCTCTCTTCCTTTTTTTGTTTTGTTTCTGAGACAGGTTCTTTCTGTGTAGCTAGCTTTAAACTCACTATGTAACTCCGGGCTGGTCTTGAATTTTGCAATCCCCCTGCCACAGCCTTCTGAATGATGAAATTACAAGAATATGTCATTATGCCTGGCTTAACAACATTTTTTAAAACACTTAGGTTGAGGCAGACGGATTGGCAAATTCAAGGCTAGACCACATAGCAAGGTCCTTTCACAAATGAAAATTTAAAAATTAAATAAGTACCAATGTATAAAGACTCATCTGAGCTTATAAGGGCCTTCCCTGAAAGTAAACTGTGCTGTAATAGGGCTGTAGGCCTATTACACTCTTAATTCCAGAACCTGGAGGGAGAGGCAGGAGGACCAGGAGTTGAAAGTCATCTACAGCTACAGAACAAATGAGTTACAGAAGACCCTGTCTAGAAAAGAAGGGGTAATAAAAAAGGAACCCTAAAATGCATAAGTCAGAAAAGGCAAAAAGAAAGCAGCTAGATTGGCTGTATTGGAATTCGCCATCCGCATTGCCTTGGTTGTGAAGGCAGGCTGCTTGGGTGAATGGCCTCGGCACACAGGCTGCTTCCCGGTGTTTGTTCAGCACCCACCGTGTGCATTGCCGTGTAAAGCACTGAGGACATTTACGCTGAAGGTATAGACATGACACGTGCCTTCGAGACGCCTGCAGTGGGGTGAAAATAGAAGATGTGGGGCTGGGGAAATGGCTCAGCAGTGAAGACTGAGTGCTGCTCTTGCAGAGAGCCTGAGTCAGGTTCCCAGCACCCGTGCCAGGTGCTCACAGCCACTCCAGTCCCAAGGGATTCAGTGCCTCTGACCTCCAGGGGTAGCTGTACTCACGCCTACACACACACACACACACACACACACACACAATTTAGAATAACTCTTTTAAAAAGTAAAGGGGGCTAGAAAGATTGCTCAGTGGTTAAGAGCTCTTAATAATGCTCTTACAGAGGACCTGGGTTTGGTTCTGGCATCCACATGGTGGCTCACAACCATTCATAACTACAGCTCCAGGGGCACCAATGTCCTCTTTGGCCTCTGCTGACACCAGACACACATGTGGTACACGGACAGACATAGACCATTCATAAAATGAAGTAGTGTTTAAAGTAGATGAAGGGCTTCATTTGTTGTGCTGTCTGATATGGGAGACACTGGTGAAATGCTAGGGGTAGGTGCCAAGAACACAAATCACTTAAGGTCCAGTGTAGCTGAAATCAGCTTTGAATTTCTAATCCCCCTGCCTCTACTTGCCAGGCATGTCCCACTATTCCTGCCCTGGTTCCTGTATCTCAGCTCTGATGTCTGATTGTTTCCTTATTCTCCCTAAAATGACGGTGAAGGCCAGCTATTAATTTGTAAAATGCTGAAAATAGAGAGGTTATGCCCTTGTTTGAAAAGCCTCGAGAATTTCAACACGGAACTGCAGAACATTCAGCCTGCCCCAGGCCTGCTAAGGCAGGAGGATATTTCCCAGGGGTCCCAGGCAGTGGGGTGGCTGAGGCCGTGCATCCCTTCACCTAAAGCCATAGGATCAGATAACGAGTTGTCTCACCCACTAGACCATGGGGGCAGGGACAGCACAGGATAGGAAGTGCACAGCTGCTTCCCCAGCGCTGTTTCATGTCTGTGCCTATCTCTCCCCTCATGACCAGCACCTCACAGGACAGCACTTGGCCGTCAGGGACTAGGTCTCGGTGTGCGCTGGTGGACTTACGATGCCGTCCACTCCTGTGTACCTTGGCTTCTGTTACAGTGTCTGACACGTAGCCCAGTGAGTCTTGTCCACTCTCCAAGCCTGCTGTCACTCCACACCTGCTGTCGCTGGTCAGCCTGAGTCCAGCATGGCGACAGCTATTCAGCAGCTTGTAGTTTCTCTTGCTTCCCAAGGCTGCAAGCAGCTGAGGGAGTGTTCACTTTATAAAATGTGTCTAAAGTATGTCGGGGGGGAGGCTGAAAAATATTAAAGCTAATTTCCTGTTTGTGAAAAAATGTAATTGCTATTCCAATTTGAATTGACTATAAATATTAAATTCCATGGAAGACACTGTGTGATTATTTATTTTGGGTGGTAGTGGGGTCACATGAGTACCATGGTATGCTTTTCATGACCTGCTTGTGTAGCTCAGAGGACAGCTTGAGGGATTCATTTCTTTCCCCCCACCATGAAGATCTGGAAATTGAACTTAGGTCATCATCAAGCTTGGCAGCAAGTACCTTTACCCACTGAGCCCTCCGGGTGCCCAGCACTGTGTATCTTTAAATAGCTCTGTGCACGTGTTATCAGATAAAGAGTGTTTTCTCTCATCATCATGGAGGGGTCAGGTGGCAGTTTATGAGCTGGCAATAAGTTGGTGTGCTGTTTACTTGGTTAGCAAACATTTGCTGAGTGCCTATGAGAAAAGACTAATTGATAAGAGTCCGTGGGAGGTAAATATCCAGAACCGTTGAGCCAGCACTAAACACCTGTGCTTATAGAGAAAACAGGTAACAGGGAAGGCCCAGCCCCGTAGGGACTTTCTGTGCCCATAGAGTGGAGGACACATTCTGTTGTCTGACCCATGTGTCTAGCAGTTCTCAAAGCACCCTGGATTGGCGGTTGGGATAGCCGTGTTTCAGAGCGGAACACTGGAGTAACTCCCAGACTTAGCATCTTCCATCCACAGACATGTTCCCCACATGGGTTCTGAGGTCAGGAGCAGAGTGACCCGGCCGGCTAGTGGGTCGTGTCTGTGATGCCGCTCATGTCTGTCATCTGAGCATCACTCCATCTGCTGATGTGGGCAGGCCTCCACTCTCCACAGCTGTTCAGCAAGGGCCTCACCCAGCTCCTTGCCACTTGAGCCTGTCCCCAGGGCTCTCTTGAGTGTCCTTGAGAAACTGTATCTGGTTTCTCCCAGAGGTAGTGACCCAGTGGTGACAGCGGTGATGAGGCCAATCGCAGAAGGGGTAGATTGTCCTCCCACCTCATTCTCCAAGGCACCTTGGTAAAGTGAGGCGGAGATTGCACAAGGATATGATTATTAAGAGGTGGGGGATGATTGAGCATCTGGCTAGTGCCCCCTCCTTCTCGGGCAGAGAGAGAGACTCACACCCAGAAGCCTGCTATGTGGGTGACAACCGCTGCCCCCTTGATGGGATGGGACAGAATGTCCCGACAGAGTCCTGTTCCTCAGCAACATGCATTTATGTGCTAAGGATCCCTACTGACAGTTCTGAGAGAAGCAGTGTTTGAGATATAACTATATTTTTACTGTATTTAATTAATGTAGCTTTGTATTATTACCGTCATCATCATTATAAAAGAAATGTGAACGTTTGGAAAACCTAGGTGACATCCTTTCTCTTCCTGTGTGTGTATGTCCATGTGAATGTGTGGGCACACATGTATTCATGTGTGTGTAGAGGCCAGACGACAACCTCGACGGTCAGCAGTCATTCCTCAGATGCCACCCACTTTGTTTCTTTGAGGCAGGGTCTCTCACTGGCCTGCAACTTGCCAAGTAGGTGATCTGTCAGTCTGTGCCTCCCTAGCAACAGGTAAGCACAGCCAGCTGGTCCCCGCCCCCACCGTGGGCTCTAGGGGTGGACAACATGCAGATCCTCATGCCTGCAAGGCCAGGTCTCTGGGCTGAGTTTCCCTAGCCTCTGGGTGTAAAGTGTGAGTCTCCCCCTCCAGCCTCCTGAATGACTCACCGACTGATGTCAGTTAGTTGCCGACCACATTTAATGTCTTTTTCTTTCAGGTATGTTTTGACTGCGGTGCCAAAAACCCCAGCTGGGCAAGCATAACCTTCGGAGTGTTTCTTTGCATTGACTGCTCAGGGTCACACCGGTCACTTGGTGTTCACTTGAGTTTTATCCGGTAAGTGGACTTTCTTTCCCTCGCGGGCTGGAGAAACTGCACTGTTCCGTGGGCGCAAACAGTACTTGTCTCTCTGCTGGAGACAATGCCTGGCAGGAAGAATGTAAAGGAGAAAATGTCAGTCATCTTTTGTCTGAGGCTCTGGTTCCAGAATGTTTGGAATGTGCTAGAATGACTTTGTCTCTTTTTATTTTATTATTGTTATTATTACTATTATTAGAATTACTACTATTACTACTACTACTACTAGTTTTTTTGAGACAAGGTTTCTCTTTGTAGTCCTGGCTGTCCTGGAACTCAGAGATCCACCTGTCTCTGCCTCCTAAATGCTAGGATTAAAGGTGTGCATCACCACTTCCCAGATTCTTTTTATTTTTTTTTATTTACTTAGTTCATTTTTCGTTTTTGAAACAGGGTCTCTCTATGTAGACCAGGCTTACCTTACAACCGACAGAGGTCCATCTGCCTCTACTTTCCAAGCACTGGGATCAAAGGTGTCACCACGCCTGGCTCCTATTTCTTCTTTAAATGTTGAAGGATTTAATGACCAGTCAAATTTTTTTTTATCTATTACACTTTTTCTTATTGTGATATAAGACACAAATAATACAGATATATAGTTTGCCTTTCTTCATGTACAGCTCAGGGTTCTTAAATGTCTTCACTTGTGACTGTCATACCTATCTCCTTTGCTGTTTTTGCTTTTTTATTAGTGACATTGAACCTGGAACCCCACGCTTGCAAGGGAAATACTTTACCACTGAACTGCAGCCCCAGCCCTCCACCCATTACTTTAACATTCAAAATTTTTATGTATTTATTTGTATGTGTATGGGTATTTTGCATATGTGTGTGTGTAGTGTGTGTGTATGTGTGTGTTCATTCTGTATGTGTCTGGCCTTTGGAAGCCAGAAGGTACCAGATTCCCTTGGAACTGGAGTTGTAGAAGGTGAGGTGCCGTGTGAGTTCTGGGAATCAAACCCAGGTCCTCTGGTCCTCTGCAGGAGCAATCAATGCTCTTAAACCACTGAGCCTTCTCTCCAGCACACTCTCCCCCAGCTCCTGGAACTTACTTTATAAGTCAGGCTGACCTCAAACTCACAGAGATCCGTCTGCCTCTGCCTCCTAAGTGCTGAAATTAAAGGCGTGCGCCACTGATGCCTAGCTGTGCTGACTGGTTTTATGTCAGCCTGACACAAACCAGCATCATTTTGGAAGAAGGAACTTTGATTCAGAAAATGCCTCCACCAAATTGGCCTGTAAGCAAGCCTGTGGTGCATTTTATCAATGTTTTCCCCTGCTGTCTTTAAACTCTATGATTTGCCTACTTTAATACTTCCTGTGCTAGTTTCTAATGTGTTCCTGTGCTGAAACACCATCTCCAAGAGCAACTTAAGAAAGTTAATTTTGGGGCTGGAGAGATGGCTCAGCAGTTAAGAGTACTAGCTGCTCTTCCAAAGATCCTGAGTTCAATTCACAGCAACGACATGGTGGCTCACAGCCATCTGTAATAATATCTGGTGTCCTCTTCTGGCCTGCAGGCATACATTCAGGAAGAACACTGTATAGATAATAAATAAATAAACCTTAAAAAATTAAAAAAAAAAGTTAATTTTGGCTGAAGGTTCCAGAGAGAGAGTCCATAATGGTGAAAAAAAAAAACATACTGGAAGGAAACTGGGCCAGCCTGACCATCAGGGATCAGAGAGAGGTCAGGAAGTGGGGTGAGGTTGTAAGAACTCAAAGCCCACCCCAAGTGATCTCCTCCAGCAAGGCTCCACCTCCTAAGGCTGCCATAACCTCAGAACCTCCTCAGACAGCACCACCAGCTGGGACTACAAGCTTTAACACAAGAGCCTGTTGGGGATGCTGACTCAAACCTCACACATTATGTGAATAGAGCTGGGGTGTTTGTTGGGCACTGGCTCCGTTTGCTTGGCTCACTCTTATCAAGGCTCTTCCATTGTTTCATAATCGGTGTTCCCGTCCTTTGACGAGGCTGAACATTAGCCCAGCCATCTGTAGACACTGATTTGCTTCTCTGTCCAGCCGTGATGGACACGGGTTGCTCCCATGTTGTAGCTATTGAGTAAAGCTGCCTTGAGCACAGGTGCACGCACATCACCTTGGGAACTGTTGAGTCCTTTTGGGCCGGTACCCGGAAGTGCTGTTGATGACTCAGGTGGTGATTACATCTCTCCTGTTTTGAGGAAGCCCTCCCTGTTACAGAATACCAGGGCCTTCTTACATCCCCCACAGCAATACACTAGGCTTCCAGTCTCTGCTCATCTTCACCAACATCTGTCACTTGACTTTTTCCTCTTCCTCCTCCTCCTCTCTTCTTCCTCCTCATCCTCTTCTTTTCCATCTTATCTCCTGTCTCTATTTTTTTTTAATTTATTTGTTTATTATGTGTACAACATTCTGCTTCACACACACCAGAAGAAGGCACCAGATCTCATTACAGATGGTTGTGAGTCATCATGTGGTTACTGGGAATTGAACTCATGACCTCTGGAAGAGCAGTCAGTGCTCTTAACCTCTGAGCCATCTCTCCAACCCATCCTGTCTCTATTCTTCTTCCTGGTCCTCACCCTCCTGATCCTGCCCTTTTGTCTTTTCTGTGGTGCCAGGGACTAAACTGGGGCCTCATGCATGCTGCACAGGTGTTCTGCTGCTGAGCTAGACTCCAGGCCAGCCCTCCTTTTTTCTTCCCTCTCCCTTCCTTCCTCCCTCCCTCCCTCCCTCCCTTCCTCTTTCCCTCTCTCCCTCCCTTTCTCTCTCCCTCCCTCCTTCCTTCTTTATTTCTATTAGCAGCCGTCGGGTGTGATGTAAACTCCCCAGTGATAGTGCTCGGTCTTCTTGTGCACTAAGCCCATCTATGTATCATCTTAGAAGACTGTTCAAGTTCTTGCCTGGTTTGGATTGAGTTGTTTGTTGTGTTGAGTTTTCAGACTTCTTTTTGTTTGCTATATATTGACCCCTATAACAGAAATGATTTGAGAATTTACTCCCATTTGATGGATGATGACTCTACTCTGTTTTCTGATACACCTGTTGGAAACTTTCCTGACGTCCAGATAGTGTGTGCCTTTCAAATCCTCTTCAAAGAACAAGAACCGAGCCCACAGCCGTGAGCTCCTGTTTTTTCCCCATAGTTTTAGTCTTATAGTTTAGTTTTATAGTTCCCCATAGTTTTATAGTTTCAAGTCTTACATTTCTGACACTTTTGAGTTTTCTTTTTGTTTTTTTAGACAAGGTCTCACTATCTAGCCCTGGCTATTCCTATAATTATCTCTGTAGACCAGACTGACCTCAAACTCCTGAGTGCTGGGATTAGAGGCATGAGTTAATTTTTGTTTGTGAAAATAGCTAAGTGTATAAGTTCGTGCATGTGTTTTTGTCAGTGTTTGAGCCCCCTTTGGACAGAACCAGTGAATGCTAGGCAGCTGTTCTTCCACTGAGCTGGATCCTCAGCCTCTTTGCACTTTTTGGGACAGGCTTTTATACTTTTCCAGGCTGACTTTGAACTTACTCTGTGCACAGCCTAGGTTGGCCTTGAACTTCCTCAGCCTCCTGAAGCACTAGGATTACAGACACCAACACCACCACCCCTCTCCCAGCTTACTGATTTATGTTTGAAAATGTTTTTCCCAGATTTGTCATTAGCTGTTCAGATACAATGCCACACCCTGTCCAGAGCAGAGGAAGCACACTCCTGCTTGGGGCTATTCTGTCCTTTTCTCCTTCCCAGGTCCCTTCCTTATCATCTGGCCTGTCCTCTTGCTCACCTCTAAGGCACAGGCCCACGTACATAGTTACAGGAAATCAGGTAGGAGGAGGACTGGCCTGGAGCCTGGAACCTGGGCAGCTAGATCTGCTTGGCCTGTGCGGGTCCAACCATGTTCCTTTTCAAAGTCAGATAAATGTAACTGCATGAGTCACACACTAATGGATGACTCAAAAAACAACAACTAAAAAGTACCGAGCCAACGGACAACTGCCTAGTCTGTGGACAGGAGAAAATCCAGGGCACACGTTACCCAGGACAATCACTGCCAAGTGTAAGGCCAACCTGGTCTACATAGTGAAGTCCAGGCCTGCCAGGACTACATAAAAAGACCCTGTCAAACAAGCAAACATACAAGATGTCACAAGCCTGGCAGAGTGGCACATGCCAGGAACCCAGCCCTGGGGAGGCTGAGGGCATCACTTGAGTTCCTAAGTCAAAGACCATCCTAAGCAACCTCATGTCTCCACTCAAAAGAAAACATTCAAATGCTCAGTGGAAAAGGTCTAAGCAGCACCCACATATGTAAGTGAGGCATGGAAGCCCCTGTTCTGGGTCTCCCCCCTCCTTCTCGCCCTGCCAGCCACACACATGCACACAGATGAGCACCAGCACATGCCAGCAGTCGGAGCTTTCAGTGTGTCATGGTTGGCATATTTAACCAAGTGGAGTTTGTGATTTTAGATTAAATTTCAAGGTAGTGATTTTTTTACGAGGACCAGTAATTTCTAACCTGTCTTTGGTGGGCATCCAGCGAAACAAGGTGGGAGTGTACCTTGTTAAACACCAGTGTAAACACCAGACTCGATGATACCTGGGGCCCAGAGTTCAGCAGTGGCTGGAATTGCCCTGGCCCTGCCCTGCATCCAGGGCCGTGCTGTTCACATCCTCAGCTCAGACTCAGCTGGGTGCCTCTCAAGGGACTCAAGCAAAGAGCCTTAGCTCAACCCAGCATGGAAGGGGACACGTGGCCTTGAAGGAAGGACCTCACACATTGGAAACAAATGGCCTACCATAGTCCACACCGTTCGCCACATACTTTCTTCCCTCTGCACTGCTGACTATGGGAAGTCAGCATTCATTCCGCCAAAATCTACTTAAACACTCTACTTACAGAAGTGCTGTGTTGGGTAGCCACTAGTGAAGCGCGAGGGAAGCCACTGTCTCCTTACCTCATAGGCCACCTTCCCGTTACTCCATTGGTTAGCAAGAGCACTTTTTTCTCAGCACTCAGCTTTCACAGGACTCTCTGCTGGGCAGCAGTTCTTCCTATTGGAGTGGGCACTGCCCAAAGCTCCTATGGGGCATGCTCAGGCCTTCACCATCAGAACCTTTTGTTGTGGAAATCCAGGGTTCTGAGGGAATTTGTTAACTTAGTTAAATACCCCCGCTTAAAGGGGTTGGAGAGATGGCTCAGTGGCTAAGAGCCCTTGTTGCTCTTCCAGAGGACCCAGGTTTGGTTCCCCAGCACCCATGTGGAGGCTCATAACTGTGTATAACATTAGGGGATCAGACTCCATCTTCAGGCCTCTGAAGGACCAGGCACACACAAGCTGTACAGACACACATGCAGGTAAAGCACCTACAATAGCAGCCACCAGTCCCACCCTTTGTGGTTTTTGAAATAGGTTCACATGGAACTTTGGCACACACCACTGTGATTGGCTGCACAGAGGCCCCACATCCCAGTGCTCTAGGAAATGTTATGAAAGGTTCGTTAGCAGTTCGATGCCAGAGAAGGGACGTTTTCACACTGTGGCGTCTTGTTTCTTTCCAGATCCACAGAGCTGGATTCGAACTGGTCTTGGTTTCAGCTTCGATGCATGCAAGTTGGAGGGAACTCGAATGCTGTAAGTCCCCAGACTTGCCCTTTCCTCCTCTTTACTGAAGTTTAATTCCTATGTGTTTGGGTTGCTCGGGGTGGGGATGGGGGTGGTGGGGGCAGATGGCAAAAAGCAGGCTCAACAGCCAGAAGCATCAAAGGCGTTTTTTTATTCAGAAACCCATTGAGTGAGTACCTGTTGGGCTGGATACTGGGTGTCTGGTGACAAACCAACCCCTCTGGTGGTAGAGTCAGAGCACAACTGAAGAAGTAAACTCACAAGAAAATGAAGGAGTCTAAGTGCTTTAAGGAATCTGAAAGCAAGTGAGGATTTAGAAGACCTGGTGTGCTTAAAACAGAAGGAGGGGCTGGAGCCATGGCTCAGAGGTTAAGAGCACTGGCTGCCCTTCCAGAGGTCCTGAGTTCAATTCCCAGCAACCACATCTGTAATGAGATCTGATGCCCTCTTCTGTCATGCAGGCACACATGCAAATACAGCGCTCATATACATGCATAACCAAATCTTTAAAATAAAAAGGAGGTTTTAACCCTTGAAGGAAAACCTATGTGCTTACACTGGAATGTGTGTATTTACATTAACTAGAGAGAATCAGGTCTATCCAGTGGTAGACCGGAAACCGGTTCAAAGAAGCTAGTGTGTGTGGCGGGAGAGGGAGTCATTTTCTTCAGTGGTGTAGCCATGGAGTAGTTGTACAGGCTCCAATAAATAGCTATACTTGACTGTACTCAGTGGGTCACACAAAAAAGCAAGCCCTCCAGTAGGCATGAAAGAAGAAGGGGCCTTGTTGGGAATAGCAGTGATGAGAGAGCCTAATAGAAGGTAAAAATGACCAGAACACATTACATGCATACATGAAGTTGTCAAAAGAAGAGAAAAGATGCTAGCCCAAAAGGTCTTTTGAGACACACTCCCTTTTCCAAATGGTACTGACTGGTGACTGAAACACTTTCAGAGGTGCTGTTCAGCCAGGTGTAAGAAGTCTTATGTTGTCACATGTGGTGGCCATGTCTGTAAACCTGGCACCCAGCAGGCAGGGGCAGAAGGAACTCCGTGAGTTCAAAACCAGCCAAGACTAAATAGTGAGACCCTGTAATGAAGAGTTGTTGTTTATTCTCTAAGACCTTTGTCCTGCCTGGTTTCTCTTTTGAGGTTACACAGCCCTGGCTGTCCTGGAATTTGCTGTGTAGATCAGGCTGGCCTGAACTCACAGAGATCCATAGCGAGCCCCTGCCTCTCACAAGGAAACCCTCCTCAGAGTAGCCTTCAAGTCAGCACAAGTGGTTGGTGCAGATCCAAAGGCCAGTTAACCCATTCTCTATCTAGTCTTGGGTCTAGTCCTGCTGTCAGGACAGGTGACATGACTTCTATACCTGAAACTCATTTTCTGGAAAAGGATAACAGAGTCCCCCAAGATGTCATATGGGCACACATGCACCCCCAACAACCCATCCATCAACCAATAAGTGTTAAAAATAAAAATATTGTCACTATATTTGAAGGGATTTTCTTTTTAAATTTTTTATTCCATTCATGTCTTTGTATGTGTGTGCACATGCTTGTGCACATGCCATGGTGCCCGTGTAGAGGTCAAAGGACAGCTTGTAGGCGGTGAGCCTCCTTTCCCACCACATAGGTCTTGGGGTTTGAACGCAGTTTGTCACCTTTGCAGCCTAAGCCTTTCCCTGCTGAGCCGTCTGGTCGGCCCCAAGGATTCCCTTCTGTAAAGTAAGGGAAATTTACTTTAGAGCTTTCATGGTGTCCAATTGTTTTCATTTTCCCTTGAACTTTCTAAGTCCCTCATTCAGTAACATTTTGAGCCTGAGGTCAGAAGTCTTGTATATTTCCGCTAATTCGCCTGCTTTTCTCTGTAGTCTTCCTTCTTCCACCAGCACGGGTGTACCACCAGTGACACCAACGCCAAGTACAACAGCCGTGCGGCTCAGCTCTACCGGGAGAAAGTCAAGTCTCTGGCCACCCAGGCCACCCGGAAGCACGGCACTGACGTGAGTCCCTGTAGATAAAGTTCATTCAGTAAAAAGCGTTCGTTTAATCCCAAGCAGTAAAACTCTCTGAAGTCTTCTGTGAGGAGCCAGGGCATGGAAGACCCTCATTATTAGAAGGACTCTGCCCTGTCAATTCACGTGTGACCTGGACCAGCAGGTCATTCTTCAGTGACAGGGCCCAAAGGGGAGGGCCAGGAGATGCGAGGATAAAGGAAGTAGGAAAGCTGGGCTCGGAGGTCTTGTCCAAGTTGGTGGTGTGTGCAAACGAGTTTATTAAGAAGTACAGCGTCTTATATACAGTTTGCAAGGATCAACAGAAAGCTATTGCCCAATGGGACAAAGTCAGCAGGAAGCTAATCAAGCAGTGTCGTACAAAGGGAACACAGGGTTCCAAGTGTGTCTCAGACAGAGCACAGAACGGCCTTGGGCCTGATAACCACAGCCCTTTAAGGGGCAAGAGTTGAGTTCTCAGGTTTAAGTCACAGTTCCCCCAAGACCCTGGCCCCAGGCTATTACTACTGGCTTTGCCAGGTAATCCAGGTCTTAGACAAGGAAACACATTCCTTCTCCAGGTCAGCCCAGCTCTCAGTACACATGGACACTGAGGATCACTGCTGGAGACCTTAGGTTCCTTCCGGCCGTGGGTCACACAGGTCATGTTTCCATTAACTAATCAATACATAACTGCTTAATGTGTGCTTCCAGTTAAAGATTTGTCATTTTAGTGCTAGGTGCACTGGTTCACACTGGGATTCCAGCACTTAGGAGGCAGAAGCAGGAGGAATCCAAGTCCAAGCCCAGTCTGGGCTATGAGACCCCATCTCAGAAACAAAAATAAGCGAACAGGGTGTCTCAAACCTAGGATTCTAGTACTTGGAAGGAAGAGGTAGGAGGATCACCTCAATTATGAGATCTCTTTGATCTACACAGTGAGTTCTAGGCCAGTCAGGGTCTTGAAAATGAAGATCAGTCAATCATAAATAAAAGGATAGCCTCATTTCATGGGCGTAAGCTCTGTGACAGAATGTTGCTGCCTGTGAACGGCCCTGGGCTTCCACTTCATGCTGCCAAAGAATTAAATAATTAATTAATTGCCAGCTTTGTTTGATATATGTTGGTGACACGTGAGCATTGACCACACAGGGGCCTTAGCTCAGGGCTGATTGGGTCTTCTTGAAGCCACATCACAGCCTTTGCAAGCCTGGGAGCCCTAGACACTGCTCTGCCCTTAGGGCTGTGTTTACTCTGGAAACCATTAGAATAAAAAGCTTGGCAGTGAAGAAGGCAGGCATGCCCTGAGGGGGCACAGGAAGGCCACTCATTTGTTAGTCTGAGGACTGAAGCACAGGGCAGTGTGCCTGCCTCAGCCTCAGCCAGGAACATGTTTTTCCCACAGCTCATCTTTGCTAGTGTCTGGAGATGGATTGAAAGCATCAGGGGTGTTATGTCGAAGTCATAAGCAACTTCAGTGAGGATGGAAATTCTGGGTTTGGACTGGGCCTGGTCACTGTGGTTTAGAACCTACATTAATATCTAAGAGGGTTTCAGGAACTGGGGTCCTTGACCTCCTGAGGGTGTGGACTTTGGAGTAACAGCTTTTTCTACAGTGTGCTCAGGGCCCTGTATGGACACTCTGGTGTTGTGTGTGAGGTACTAGGCAGCGTAAGCTGCAAGCTCCAGAGGGGAGTGGAGGGGAGAGCTGAGGTAAACTGCTAAGCTCCGTTTTATTTTCCTTCCAGCTGTGGCTTGACAGCTGTGCAGCTCCACCTGTGTCCCCTCCCCCAAAGGAGGAGGATTTTTTTGCTGCCCATGCCTCTCAGGAGGTAAGTTTGCTGCTTTGTTCTCAAGGTTTGTTTTAGATCATGTGTATGTATATGGGGGTTTGTACATGTGAGTGCAGTGCCCATGGAGTCCAGAAGAAGGCATCAGACTCTTGGAGCTGGAGTTACAGATAGTTGTGAACCTCCCTACATGGGTACTGGGAACTGAACTTGGGTCTTCTGCAAGAGCACTGCAAGCTCTTAACCCCTGAGCAATCTCTCTGGCCATGCTTCACATAATTTTAAAATGTGCTTATTCTGAAGCCCTAACAAGCATGCATTTGCGATGCAGTAAGATACAGGCTGCCTGGCGAGTTTCTTGTGCTGTTCTCCATTCATGACTTCTGACCTGGGGTCTAACCTGGGGCCCAGAAGTATTCCCTTTCACAGTTCATAGACGAAGTATACCTGTCCGGGAAAGCACGGGCCCTGTCTTGCTGACTGGAATGTGGTCACCTCTGTACCTAGCTCTGGGGTGCTTTCTTAGCCAACTCAGAGCTTGGTGACTGAAGAATAAAGACAGTTGTCATGGGGTAAATCTCAGTGCCCTGATGTCATGGGGGTAAATCTCCATGCCCTGTCATCATGGGGTAAATCTCAGTGCCCTGATGTCATGGGGTAAATCTCAGTGTCCTGATGTCATGGGGTAAATCTCAGTGCCCTGTCGTCATGGGGGTAAATCTCTGTTCCCTGATGTCATGGGGTAAATCTCCGTTCCCTGATATCATGGGGGCAAATCTCAGTGCCCTGATTTCAAGACTTACTGTGAGAATTAAAGGACACGAGTAGAATACAGAGAAGCCAGTGCAGTAGTGTCCAGGAGGTGGCACTACTGGCTTCTTCTCAAGTCACTTTGCTAAGGGAAGGTAGAGCTTGCAAGACCCAAAACACTAACAGGTCCTGGGAAGCAACACTTGCAGACTTCTGGCTTAGAGCCCCGTAGTCTGGATTCTCCCTGATTCTTACTGTCCCATTGAGGAGGGGCTGCTACTTGCTCAGTTTTAAAATGAAATTACACGTTCATACCTGTCATGGTGGCACATACCCAAGAAGAGAGATTTACAATGATGCAGGTTTGGAGGTTACAGCCTGGTGTAGGCAAAGTCTTCCATCTAGACCACCGATCAGCTCTGTCCCACCAGCTGCTCCCCAAATACCCACACCGAGGCTTAATATTTACAGATGATCAGCTGATAGTTTAGACATGATTTTAGCTAGCTCCCACCACTTAAATGAACCCATTTCTATTCATCTCTGTGCTGCCCCAAGGCTCATTTACCTCATCTATATACTGCCCATTCTGCATGCTTTGCACCTCCTGGCATCTCCTGGTGACTCCTCAACTCTGCCCTTCTTCCCAGTGTCCTCCTCGTCTGTCTCTCCCACCCAATCTCTGCCTGCCCCGCTCTAGGCCAATGAGCTCTGTATTAACCAGTGAGAGTAATGCGTGCTTCCAGTGCACAGACTGTTCCATAGCAGTCGGGGATGGTTCGTCTTGTAGCTCCTGGGCCTGTTCAACATTAGGACACTGGTGGGGAGCATACAGAGAAGCAAGATTGCTCACCTCATGGCCAGAGGAACTAGGGTCCCTTTTTTCCCTTCAAGGACCCTGAGACCTCCCTTTAGAACCTCCCCTGTGCAGGCTGGAGACCAAGTGAGTGATGCGTACGCTTCTGGAGGGCTTAAGCAAGCACGATCCATCATGGTCCTATGCTGCCGAGGCTGAGACACACCACTGCTGCAAGTTAGAGGTCCACTTTGGCTATAGAGTGAATTCCAGAACAGCCTGGGCCATAGTGTGAGGCTCTGACTTGAAAAATCAAATTTAAAACACAAAAACCCCCTGGGGAAATAGCTCAGTAGATAAAATACTTGCCATGCATGAGGACTGGAGTTTGGATACAGGAACCGTGTAAGCCGAACAGGTAGCAGCCTTCCTGTAATCCCAGGGCTCAGGAGAGAGAGATGGCATCCCTGACGCAAACTGTCTGTCTAGACTAGCTGAGTCAGCAAGCTCCAGGCTCAGCAAGAAACCCTGCCCCAGTAAATAAAGGGAGAGGGATCAAGGAAGATATCTAGTGTCAACCTCTGACCTCTGCACACACCTGCACCCACACACCTGTGAACATGTATGCCCACGATACCATACACACACACACACACACACACACACACACACACACACACACGCGCGCGCACGCGCGCGCGCGCGCGATAAATCTTGATTTATTTCTTTTTTGCTATTATAACTTGAATATCTATGTTGTCATTGATGACATAATAAGGAGTTACCAGAAGCTGAGGATGGGGACACAGATATGCAACCCAGCACTCAGGAGGCTAAGGTTGAGGATCCTGAGTTGAGGCCAGCCTAGGTGGGATGTTGCTATTGTTTAACACAGCACTAGATACAGAATAGACTGAATAGCCGTGCTTAGTAGCTGAGAAATGGCAGCAGTAAAAAGATGGGCCGGGAAGAGAGCCAGGAGCAGCATGGTGTGGTCTTGGGTTGGAGAGTTGAAGAGGAACTCGTGTATCTGTCATCTCTGTAGTGCGTGTCTGCGCATGTGCAGATGGAGACTAGATAAATGTGCACACGTGTCGTCCAGCTTTCCCACCCCACGCCAAGAATGCCTAAAGACGGGCAGCAGTGGCAAATACCTTTAATCTTAGCACACGGGAGGCAGAAGCAGGTGGATCTCTGTGAGTTCGAGGCCAGCCTGGTCTACAGAGCAAGTTCCAGGGCAGGCTCCAAAGCTACAGAGAAACCCTGTCTCAAAAAACAAAAACAACAAAAAATCAAGAATGCCTAGAGACAGTGACATTCTGGCTTAGCAAACACCCTCAGCATCTGGCCTTGGTTTCTAAAGACTTATTTATGTGTATATGTGTGTCTGCATGTATATGTGTGCAACATATGTGTGCCTGGTGCCTACAGAAGTCAGAAGAGGACACCATGTCCCTGCAGCTGGAGTTCTAGGTAGTTGTAAGCAGCCTGATGTGGGTGCTGGGAACTGAACCTGAGTCCTCTACAAGAACAGCCAGTGCTGCTAACCACTGAGCTGTCTCTCCAGACCTTCAGCCCTCCTGCTTTCTAATTGCCATGTTCCAGCAGTGGAGCCAGGCTACCTGTCGGAAATGACCGCTGAGGTTTCTGAGCCAAGTATGCAGACCGTCTTGTAGAGTTAGGGCTCAAGCTGGAAAGTGAGGTGACCTGGGGAGAGTGGACAGGGCTTCATCCAAAGGACTCATAGGCAGCCTGAAAGACCCATCCCTCCCCCGTGGTCAAAACTAGGGCAGTCTGAACTACAAAATCAGTGTTGTTATCAACCAAAGAGCATCTGTCACCAGGAGTCTATGTGATTTCACTGAGTACAACATGAATGGGGGAGGGACACGTCTTCCTCTTGGACCCTGAGCTGTGAGTGGAGTCTTGAGGACGTGGAGCTCAGCTGGCCATTCCTCAGGTGCAGGTCAGGCTGGGAGACACCTGCCAAGACTGGAAAGGATGCCGCATCCCCTCACCAAGGGTCAGGGGACTGTCTCCAGTTTTGAGTCATGTTGACACAGGCAAGAAGAGAACCACTCTGCTGTAAAGCACTGGACAACGTCCTTTAAAAGCTTCAAGGCCATGAAAAATGATGACAAGTCACCAGAGCTCATGGTTGGGTCCCCGAGTGGCTCCAAGAGGGAGGAAATGACTGGATACAGCAGCCTACAGAGCCTGCAGTGCCCAGGTGCTGCATCCATGACCATTTCCTGTATCGACACATGTGCAGAGGAGCCTGGGTACATAGAAATGTTCTGTGTGATCTGAATCACTTCTGCATAAATCGGAAATTATTCCAGCTGGGTGTGGTGGTGCATACCTTTAATCCCAGCACTGAGGAAGCAGAGGCAGGCAGATCTCTGAGTTTCAGGCTAGCCAAAGCTACATACTGAAACCTGTCTCACAAAAACAAAAATTCCAAAGTTTACACCTCAGAAGGGAAGAGGCTGGGAATATAGCTGAGTTGGTAGAGCGCTTGCTAGAGAGGACACAAGGCCCTGGGTTCTATTCCCAGACATCATAAGCTGGGGCTGTCTTGCATCTGTAATACCAACACTGGAAAGTGAAAGGAGAAAAGTCAAAAGTTCAGGGTTGTCTTCTGCCACAATACCAAGTTCTAGGCCAGTCTGGAATTCATGATACTCTGTCTCAAAAAACAAACAAACAAAAATGGTGGGCAAAGTGAGACATTTGAACATTTAGGCAGGGCCGTGGACAGATGTCTTTGGGAGTCTTGCCACTAGCACATGCTCAGAAGGGGCTCCTGCCCTGCTACCCTGATGCTGGTTTGCTGTTAGTGATCCTTGCTTTCCTGCTAATGGCTTCTCTCATCTCACCTCAGGTCAGTGGTACCATGCGGGCATCAACACAGCCAGAACCAGCTCCTTTAACACCGAGGACCGTGGAAACCACTCCAGAAAAAAATGAAGGTGGGGCCCATGAAGTCAACACAGAACACTGTTCTTTGGTCTAGTAGCCAAGCTGAAACTGTTGAAGTTAAAATAGAAAACCTTTGTGTTAGCCCATGGATTCTAAAGACATTCTAGAAGGGTCCCAGCAAGACGTCAGCTAGAGAATAGGATAACTGGGTCGTCAGTGTCTGCTGTGATGCAGTATTGAAGTGTGGACTTCTATAATTAGAGGACAAGATTTCAGAGTTCTTTTTTAAATTTAGTTTTAAAACTTTTAAGGCAAGGTTTCTCCGTGTAGTCCTGGCTATCCTGAAACTCTCTGTGTAGACCAGGCTGACCTCGAATTGGCAGAGATCCACCTGCCTCTGCCTCTGCCTCTGGAGTGCTATGATTAAAAGCATGTGCCACCATGCCTGGCTAAGTTTTCCATTTTTAAATTGTTTAATAACTATTTCAAAGTAAGTAAGTCATACTTACCTGCTAATTGTATTGCAGAGCTTTATTGATTTAATGGTTTTTTGAGGCAGAGTCTCATGTTTCACAGGCTGTCTGAAAATTCACTAGGTCGCTGAGATAACTGAAGAGTGCTGGGCTCACAGGCATGTTTCCCCACACCCAACTGTACGTGTACTGTAAATATGCTGCCAGTCATTGTGTGATCTAATGTACGCATTAGAAATGACCTAGGTGCCCGTTGTGTCTAAAACTGAGCATCTTTCTTTCATCAGCCCAAATGTTACAGTATATTAACAATAAATGTACCTTTGACAGCCAAGCAGCGAGCTTGGGATGTGGGACCCAGGAAAGACATGCTGGCTTGTGGAGGGAGGCTCAGTGGCAGCCTTTGGGTTGGGGTGCAGCAAGACAGTTTGAGAAATGGACTCTGCTGCAAGGATTAAAGTTGGTGCTGTCTGCCACGAGAAGGGTGGTAGGAGAGCAGCTTCAGAAGCCATGAATCACCTCTAAGGTAACCCCAGCATGGATGCTTTTCACCTATGGTTTACAACCATTGCTTTCTTTATCCTTTTTGATTTTTTAAGACAGGGTTTCTCTGTGTATCCCTGGCTGTCCTGGAACTCATTCTGTAAACCAGGCTAGCCTTGAACTCAGAGATCCACCTGCCTCTGCCTCCCAAGTGCTGGAATTAAAGACATGTGCCACCCCTGTCTGGCTATGTGGATTTCTTTTTTTGTATCCTGTGGTTGAGATGCCTTGGAGAAACACAGGAGTCCAGCCTGGCATCCTCCCCCTTCTCTTCTGGGCCTGCAGCTCCAGATGCAGCCAGTGGCCACCCCCAACACACCTGCCTTCTGCACTTTGTGTCCCTTCTGTACACTATGCCCTGCTCTGGAGATTGCTGTGTCCCTTGGGTTGCATGTGACACATGTCCCATGACAGAGCGTATGGGGGATGTGCCATGTGCAGTGTGGTAACTGAATGCCTTACTGTAAACCACACATGATGAGGGAGAGTTCTGAGACCACGGTGGGGGCGCATACCTACAGTCTTAGCACTGAGGGGCAATGTCAGGAAAGTCAGGGTTCAGTGTCATCCTTGGCTACCTAGGGAGTTGAAGGCCAGCCTGAGCTATATAAAACCCTGTCCAAAGCAATTACAAAGTGGAATTCTAAATGGTAGCAGTTGAAAAGACTTTTAGAATTTTTTTCATTCTATAAAACCATTGTTTTAAACATGCATTGACATTCTAATGGGCAGAATTCTGTCTTTTTTTTTTTTTTAAAGACATGGTCCCATGTAGCCCAGGTGGCCTCACACTGGGCTACATATAGCTGAGGATGACTTTGAACTTCTGATTGTCCTGCCTCTACCTCCTGAGTGCTGGGATTACAGGAGGACACCAACATGCCCAGCTATTACAGCAATTTTAAGTCAGATTGCTTATGGCAGGGAGCAGGTTGTGTGGGGTGGTAATGGAGCCAGGGGTCTGGTTTGATAGGGGAATGACAGCCATGCTTCACAGCACCTTAGGATAACCCGCATCTGTTAACGCTGCCCAACAGTAGAAAGGTTTCAGATGTGTCTGACACAGAGAGGTGCTAATGTTTGGTATGATACATGACCATGACAAACTGTGGGCATTGTCAAAATACCGCAGCGTGCCTCATAAATACATAGGATTATTATATGTCAACTGCAAAGAAAAATATATTTAAAAAAGTGAGGGTCCGCATGGTGGCCCACACATTTAATGCCAGCACTCAGGAGGCAGAGGCAGGCAGGATCTCTGTGAGTTCGAGGCCAGACTGCTTTACATAGTGAAACCCTGTCTTTAAATGATAATGAAAAAGGTGGGGATGTAGCTCAGTGGTAAAGCACCATCTTGGCCATGTGCAGCATCAAAAAATATAATGACGAAATAGATAATGGACCTGAAAAGCAAGGTGATTGATGTTCCCAGATGAGAAACATAGGACTGAGCAACGTTTTCTGCATTAACGTCAGTGCTTTACATTTTCAGGTGGACCAGAACAAGGGCCAAGTGTGGAAGGTCTGAACGCTCCAGGGAAGGCTACAGCAGGTAATATGCCGAGGGTCCGGGGTCGTCTTTGAATTCTGCCCGTCTCAGTTCTCACAGTGTTCAGCATTGTGACTGAACCCATTCCCGAGTATTATCAGGCAAAGCTGCTATTCTATGTAGCCACCGTGGCTATGCACCTTGCAGGGGCTGGTTCACAGACGTGCCCACTGTATGAGCTCAGAGCCCCACACCACCGTTCATCAGACACTCGGCATTTTCTCCGCGTTCTAAACTTCAAAGCCAGTGTTCCATTTTTAAGGAGTTATAATCTGATATTGATGTGTATTAATTTTCATGTATTGGAAAGTAGCCACACCGATGAAAAATAACTAAACCTCTGGTTATTTTCACCATCTGTCAGACTTCTCAGTCAGGAGCAGGTTATGAGGCATGTGCAATAGGGGTCTAAAGCAGAGCAGTGGAAAAGTGAGTCCTCGTGGAGTCCTTTTCACACTTGAAGTCTAGCACTAGTCTCTTCTTAGAGCTGAAGATTGCAGTCTGCTACAGCAGGGGATTTACATGCTCCCCTTCCCACCATAAGGATGCATGCATGCATTCGTGCGTGTGTGTCTTGGAATGGGATGGGGCTTCATGCATGTTAGGCAAGGGCTCTACCACTGAGCTGTACCCTCAGCCCCAGGCTTTATTCTTCCTATGCCACCAGAGCGTAATTCTAAAACCAGAATATATATCTGTGTATTAAAAATTATACAGAAAAGCTGGGCGGTGGTGGCACACTCCTTTAATCCCAGCACTTGGGAGGCAGGGGCAGGCGGATTCCTGTGAGTTTGAGGCCAGCCTGGTCTACAGAGTGAATTCCAGAATAGCCAGGTCTACACAGAGAAACTCTGTCTCAAAAAAACAAAAAACAAAACCAAAAAGAAAAAGAAAAAAGAAAAGAAAATGATTCAGAAAGTGATATTTTAAAGAAACTATAAAGCGTGTATTTTTGTGAAATTTAGAAAATGCTAATACTAAGACCTTAGTAGAAAGGCCAAAAAGCAGTGAAAGGCAGCTACTACATTACTACATGACAGGCTGCTTCTCATGTTTCAGTCAGTGGTGGGATGCTAAGATCTGTGTGTAAATCAGTAGGAAAACCCCAGCCTAGGCTTTAGTTAGAGCATAGTGCTAGGCCATTTCCTGTTTTAATTTTTTTAAATATTTATGTATTTCATTTTGTAATAGGTATTTGGCCTGCTTGTATGTCTGTGCACTACATGCATGCAAAAGCCTACAGAGATCAGAAGAAGGGTCAGATCTTCTGGAATTAGAATAACAGGTGGATGTGAGCTACCACGTGGGTGATGGGATTCAAACCCAGGTCCTTTGTAAGAGCAGCCATTGCTATTAACCTCTGAGCCGTCTCTCCAGCCTCCAGTTTCCTGGAGTTTTTTTTTTTCTTTTTTTTTTTTTTGGTTTTGCTTTTGGGTTTTTTCTTGTTTTGTTTTTTTGTTTGTTTGTTTTTGGTTTGGTTTGGCTTTTCGTTTTTTAAGACACGGCTTCTCTGTGTGCCTTTGGAACCCATCCTAGAACTCTCTGTGTAGACCAGCTTGGCCTCAAACTCACGGAGATCTGCCTGCCTCTGCCTCACAGAATGCTGGGATTAGAGGTGTCAACTACCACCATCTGACTCAATTTTCTGGGTTTTTTTTTTAAAGATTTATTATTTATTTATTATGTATACAATGTCCTGCCTGCATGTGTCCCTGCAAACAGAAGTTGGCACCAGATCTTATTAGAGGTGGTTGTGAGCCACCATGTGGTTGCTGGGAACTGAACTCAGGACCTCTGGAAGAGCAGTCAATGCTCTCACCATTGAGCCATCTGTCCAGCCCCAGTTTCCTGTTCTTAAGGAGCTGAGGCTACCTCAGTGGTGGAGCACTTGCCTACTAGGTTTGATTGCCAGCAGCACCGAGCAGTGGTAACGGTGGTGATGATGGTAATGGTGGTAGTGAGAATGTTGATGATGGTGATGGTGATTACCATGTGTGAGGGGGTGCAGTAAAGAAAATGCCAATATGACTGCTCACTTTTTATTGTGAATAAGAGCAAGAGAACATCCAGAGGCATCTGGAAGAGTCCAGAGCAGAGAGAAGAAACAGATCAGACATAGCCAGGACTGTCTACTAGAGAAAGGAGAATGCTGTGTAGGGAGAGAGTAAGAGGATAGATAACAAAGGATAGAGTTAGTATATAGAGGCTGGGTTGAAGTATAATAAAGACAGCAGTAATCTGAGGTGGGGCGGGGCAGGGGCTTTGAGGGACTGAGGAAGCCTAGAGGCCAGCATGAGCTTTGGTATGCAAGCACAGGTTTATGCCAGTGGAGCGTATGTCAGTTCTACCAGTAGGAAGGGAAATGACTCCTTTTGGCAGGTGGGAATTAGTTGAACATGACTTTTGTCTACCAAAATTTCTCTGTAGCCCTGGCCATCCTATAACTGACCTCAAACTGACCAGACTGACCTCAAACTCACAGAGATTCGCTTGCCTAGCAATAAAACCATAAGTGGGATAACAACAACACAAAAAAAATGAGGGCTGGGGTGTAGCTCAGCACCATGGTGCTTGCTTAGTATTCCTGAGGCCCTGGTTCAATCCCCAGCATCAAAACTTTTTTAAAAGAGAAAACAAAGACAGGGATACAATCATTACTTGATTGTCAGGGCTCTGGAGTAGAAGAAAAGATCTTGATGGGAGTGGGGCTTATGACCTGGCCCAACTCTGGGAGCTCCCCTGCCCCAGACAGTACAGTCATCTCATCAACCTGATAAGGCTGCATGGAATGAGCAAAATCTTCTGAAGTTGGAGCCACAGAGCTGCGGTTTTTCATCACGTAGGAGTGCTCTGAAGATTGAAGTTGGAGGGCTGCTAGGCTCTGTCATCCCCTGGGAGCAAATGACAGAGGATGCCAAAACCCCATCACAGAATGTGGCTGGAGCCCAAGGCTGGACAGAGCTTAGATGGCATGGGGTGGGGCAGTGCTTCCAAGGGCCACGGATAGCAAACAAGGCTCAAGGTAGCAATAGACAGCAAAGAGGCCACAAGCAGCAGAGAAGGCATCCAAAGAAACCACAGGAACGGGGGCTAGAGAGAGGGCCTGGTGGTGAAGATCACTGGCTACGCTTGCAGAAGACCCAGGTTCAGTTTCCAGTCTGTAACCCTAATCTCAGGCAATCTGATGCCTTCTTCTGGCCCCCGAAAACCCCAGACACACAGATGGAACACAGGTAAACGTGCAGGCAAACACCCACACACAAATAAAAGCAAGAACCCCAGGAGCAGGCCGGCTCCTCTGCTGATAAAGGAGCTCTCAGCTGCTTCCTGGAGAGTGAGTAAATGAGAAGGCAAGGTGGTAGCCCTGGGGGAGAGCCTCAGAGCAAAGGTACTTTGGCCAGTGCCAGCTGCAAGTGTGCAGGGCTGTGCAGCTGTGGTCAGGCCGGGGTGATGGAGCATCCCAGTGAGGCACTCGAGTCTCAGCACCTCTCAAAACAGGCATGTGAAGACTGTTTATTTAAGAATGTTGGATTTCTGTGTCAGTCATCATGGGTCACATGTTCTTACCTATATGAGAGAAGGACTTTTGAATTCTTAGGTGCTTTAGAACATAACATAACCATATAGTCTTTGAGAGTCACAACTCTTTAGGTCTGATAAGAAAATTTGATTAAAAATGGTCTTCCCAAGAAAGGGGTCCAGGGTCCTTGCATATATGGGGGATCAGGACAATAAATGTTTAAGGGTTGACATCAGGCTGTATCACACAGAGAAAGAACCCCAAGTCCAGGCCTTGTCTCACCTGGGTGATAGCTGTACTTTAGAAATTCTTGATGCATATAATTCAATAGGAGAGTTAGCTCCTCTTAAAATTATTTTTATTACACTTTAGTTATCTGTGGAGTGGAGTACATGCTATGGCATGTGTATGGAAGTCAGAGGACAGCTCGCAGGATCCCACCACATGGGTCCTGGGATCAAACTCAGGTTATCAGGCTTGGCAACAAGTGCCTGTACTCACTAAACCGTCTCACAGAAGAGTGTTTTTAATGCTTGTGGAGAGCAGGTCCTGGGATAAGCACAGACTGTTTCTCTAGTGTGTACTCAGAGCAGGTGTTCGCTCTGAGCTGCAGTGGTATATGGTCATACCCTGACTCTGTGCTGAAGCCCTGGGAACCTGAGAACATGCCTGACAATTTACACAAGCAAGTCATCTTATTTATAAGACACACTAGAATAGAAAAGTAATGCATAAAATTCTATCTGTCTGACTTCTTTTTTTCCCCCCTTTGGCAGAAGTTTCATCTCTTATAAAAAAGAAACCAAATCAAGCAAAAAAAGGAGTAAGTATTACATTGTGTAAAAAAAAATACAGGAGTTTGGCTCTTAAGACTAGAGATCCATTTTCTCTTACGAGTTTTTTTTTTTTTAAACTGGCATATACTCACTGCACATGATACTGGTTTTCATAAATCACTATGATGGTACATGTCTTTAATCCCCCATCACTGAGGAGATAGAGGCAGGTGGATCTCTGTGAGTTGGAGGCCAGCCTGGTCTACAGAGTTTGTTCCTGGTCAGCCACAGCTACACAGTGAGACCTGTCTTTAAAAAGAAAAAAGGAAGGGGGGAAAAAAACTATATTGTGTAGATAGAGACTGTTCTCTCCTTTTCCAGCCACTCAGAAACTATCTTCATTACAACACTGTTTGGCCAATGACTCAAGTGTATTTCTAGCTAGCTCTTTTACATCTTAAATTAACCCATTTCTATTCATCTATATACCACCAAGACCTTTTGGGGGGCCTTATTGCATCAAACCACATTATCCTGGAAGGAATCTACAGGTTCTCATCTCCTGTGAAAACAAAAGCAGAACCTCTTTTACAAAGTATCACATTCTTAGACTCAAAATTTGAAGTCAAGGTACTTTTAAAGTATATATGTTTTTTTAGCTTAGCAGCCCCCAGAATCAAATGTCTCTCTGCAGTCAAAAAACTCAAAGAAACCGTAATAATATACATAATCCAGACTCTCTGTGTATTTTCCATCTTTATGTGGTTTAAGTTTCTTTACTCCTTTAATCTATGACTGTCTGTGCTCTTTTATATTACTTTTACTATCTCTTTAAAGACTTTGATTTTTTTAAAACTATTTATTTTTATAACTGTGTATACTCTTTTTCTTCTCTCTCACAAGTGTACGTACATTTATCCAACACTATGACCCATTCAGAGGTGTTCTTCATCTGAATCTGTCTTTATTGCATATCTGTAATCATTTTCTGAGTAGGAGCTCTTTTTTTTTAATGTTAAGTGGATGTAGCTAAGACCAACTTCGTGGCCCTGTCTGTTTGCTCCACCCAGTCCAACATGGTGGAGGCATGTTCAAAGCCTCTGCAAGCCATGCTCATGGCCCCAGCTCCAGAGACACAGCGGGTATATGTTACCATTAAACAATTTGTAACACATTGCTCACAGACCCCATTTAAGTGCTCTGTAGCAGAACCTCCTGAAAGAACCAGAGTTGTTTGTTCTGCCAGCACAAACCGGGAAGCCAAATCTTAAAGAAGCTGTGCAGTTTTGCCACTAATGCTAAGTCAGAAAACCTTTTCATAAAGGAGCCGTGCCTCTGCTTACCACTAGCAAACAGAGCCCACATGAGAAAATGCTGCTACCAAGAAGCTGTACTTAACTCTGTTCTTTTGTGTCTAGAATTCCTTCCTAAGCTCTCTCAGGTTTTATGTGGATGTAGTTGGCTCACGTTGAGCACCATTTTGTAAACAGAGACTGCTTGTTTGTCTCCTGGCTGCTCAGAGCCAAATAATCATACAGAAATTATATTAATTATGGCACTGCTTGGCAAATAACTTAGGCATATTCCTGGCTAACTCTTATATCTTAAATTAACCCATTTCTATTAATCTGTGTACCGCCATGAGCTGTGGCCTACTGGTAAAGTGATCTGGCATCTTCCTGCTTCAGTAGCTACTTTCTGACTCTGCCTGCTCTCTCTATATATCTCTGTTTGGTTTTCCAGCCTAGATTTAATCTGCTAAGTCATTGGCCAAAACAGCTTTATTCATTAACCAATAAAAGCATCACATATACAGAAAGACATCCCACATCACTTTCTTCTGTGTCCTGCAGAATGTCTGTCAGTTTCTTTGGTGAAGCAGGAGCCCTTAAAGGATCATTCTTTCTTTTGGAAGGTTTAGAAGTTACTTTTCTGTGGGTCTTGCATGTCCAGTTCATACAGCATACTATCAAGCAGTCCAGGAAAGAACAGTTTCTTGTCCAAATGGCTAACCTTGTCACATTGAAGGCAAATTCCATAACGAGTTCTCTGATGCCCTCTCTGAAGTGATTGGTGCTGCCAGAAGCAGACGTGTCTCACTGTTGAGAAAAGTCTTAATTTCTTAAAACACTTTAAATGCCGTATTCTGTAGGTCTTTGAAAGATGCATATCTATCTAAAATATATCTCTGTACATTTAGAAAATCTAATATGACTACAAGTTTGACTGTTATAGATAACTATTTATTAATCCATAATTTTTAATTATTACATTTTTAAATGAACTGTATAAACATAATACCTTAAACAAAAGTAGAAATATACATATAACAAAATTGACCTTAAATTTTTATCAGTAAACCAAAGTCTATACCAAGGTCTTTAGGAAGACCTTGACTGTCATCATTAAACCCTTATTATCAACCCACTTTAGATGAAAACAAATGTTTATAAACAATATTTGGGAATGTGAGTGTAGTTTTTAAGACTACTTCCTGCTGATTGGGGATGCTGGTAATCAGGTCTTTCATGGGGTATCCTGTGTGGTTGGTTCATTTCAGCTGTCAGGGGTCTTGTTTGGTCAAACCATATTAGCTGATAAGGAATCCACAGCTTTCTATACTCTGTGGAAACAAACACAGAACCTCTCTTCCAAAGTAACCTGTCCTTAGACTTAAATTTTGAAGTCAAGATACCTTTAAAATATATATGTTGGTTTAGCTTAGCAGCCTGTACAATGAAATGTATTTCTGTACTTATCTCATTCACAGTCAAAGAATTCAAAGAAAACACAATAATATACATAATCTAGACTCTCTGTGTATTTTTATTTTTTAATTTTTTTTTTGAGACAGGGTTTCTTTGTTTATCTTTGGCTGTACTAGAACTCACAGAGATCTGCCTGCCTCTGCCTCCCAAGTGCTGGGATTAAAGGGGGTGCCCAACTACTCTATTTCCTTTTTTTTTTTTTCAGGACTTTCTCTATCCTTTTTTCTTTTCTCTCCCAAGCCTATGTATAATTTTAAGCACACTGTAAACTACTTAGAGGGTTTTTTTTTTCATCTGAATCTATCTTTACTGTATATCTCTTTTTCTGACCACATTTGCTAAACAGTATGGCTAGGATTTAAACTGCGGCCTTGGCAGCCGACTCCACCCCATTCCTTACCTTTTTGAGAATCTAGCTTCATGGCAGAGGTACTGGTGGGAGCCACATTTATTGTCACAATTCTGTGGAGTTTCTAGGTCCATGTCCACCACCAAGAAGCCTGATTAAACACCATCTAAGTGTTTAATGGCAGAGCCTCTTCAAAGAGCTGCAAGATTTTAGCCACTAATGCTGAGCCAGGAAGCATCCCTTAAAGGAGCTGCACTTCTGCTTGCTGCCAGCAAACAGAACCTACCAGAGAAAAGACACCTACCAAGAAGTTGCACTTGACTCTTTTCTTGTCTGTCAAGAATCCTTTTTTTTATTGGGCTGGCCAGATGGCTCAACAGTTAAGAACACTGGGTGCTCTTCCAGAGGTCCTGAGTTCAATTACTAGCACCCACATGGAAGCTCACAACCTTCTATAACTGTAGTCTTATGTGATCTGATACCCTCTTCTGGTGTGTGGAGGTACATGCCAACAAAGCATCCCTATACATAAAATAAATATATCTTTAAGAAAAGAGGGAGAGAAAAAAAGAATCTTTTTATTTTTTTAAACTTTCTCAAGCTTTATGTGGAGAGTCTTGCCAAATGTTTGGGGCCTGTTTGTAGGCACAGATTGTGCTTTTGTTTCCCCGCCATCCAGACCTGAATAATCACACACAAACTATATTAATTACAACACTGTTTGGCCAGTGGTTCAGGAATATTCCTAGCTAGCTCTTACATCTCAAATTAACCCACTTCTATTAATTTTATGTATCCCCATGAGGAATCTTTCTCCTTCGGCAGCTACATGGTGTCTCCTTGACCCTGCCTACTCTCTATATAATTATCTCTGTTCAGATTTTTTCACCTGGCTTTACTGTGCTAAGCCATTGGCCCAAACAGCTTTATTCATCGATCAGTAAAAGCAGCACACATGCAGAAGGACATGTCACATCAATATTGGGATTCATCTTGCCCTGAGCAGAGCAGTACCCTCACTTATTTTGAGCCATAACACAATAAATGTGGTGGTTTTGTTCAGTGAGTATTATACTTAGTATTTTCTAGAATACATGTTTAACCTTGTCGCCTGTCTGTGGCCAAGTAGAGCCGCCTGTGAGGACCAGAGGGTGGCTTTGTGAAGAATTCTCCCTTACAGCGATGCCTGCAGTAAGGGAGTCATTCTTGCAGGCAAGGGTTGGGGTGGGAGCACCCATACTCCCCCTCTTCTCCTATACCCATGCTAGCTCCATCTCGCTCGGCAGTCCTGGATACTGCGTTGATTCCCATGGATCCCATGTATTTCATTCAGTGTCATCATCTGTGTGGGGTAAGGAGACTGCCAGCCTCACTGAGGAGACTAAGCAGGAGAAGGAAATGCTTGTCACAGTCCTGGCAGGTCACAGGCCTCAGAGTGTATTGCTGCAGCTATAGGTTTTAACTCTAGGTAGAATAAAATCTTACGTATATTGCAGCTTGGAGCCAAAAAAGGAAGCTTGGGAGCCCAGAAACTGACGAACGCATCCTTCACTGAGATTGAGAAGCAAGCACAGGCCGTGGATAAGAGGAGGGAGCAGGAAGGCCTGGCCAGGAGTGCACCGAAAGAGGAGTCCATGTGAGCTTCCTTTGCTTCTGCCGTCTATGCTTTGACTTTTAACTTGGTTTGTTTTCCAGATACCCTGTATTTTTGGTGAGTGTGCTATTCAGGGTATAGTTTCATGAAAGTTTGTGTTGGCATGTGTGTTGGAAGGTTCAGGACTGATGGCTCTGGGAAGCAGCAGTGGACCCTGGGGGAGCCATGTGCAGGAATGGTAGATGGGGCACAGTATCAGGAAGATGCCAGTTGTTATCCAGGAAGGCAACTACAACAGAAAGACAGGCTAGAGCAGAGGTTCTCAGCCTGTGGGGCACGAACCCTTTGGGGTCAAACAACCCATTCACAGGACTCACCCAAGACCATTGGGAAATAAGATATTTACATATAACTCACAATAGTAGCCAAATTATAGTTGTGAAGTAGCAATGAAAATAGTTGTATGGTTGGGGGTCACTACAACATGAGAAACTATATTAAAGGGTTGCAGCATTAAGACAGTTGAAAACTACTGGGCTAGTGGCCCAGTACCCACTTAGCATGCGTGAGGGTCTGTAGTCTGTCCCCAGGACAGACAGACTGTCGGGAATGCTGGTAGGACACAAGCATTGTAAGGCTGTTGGTAGCAATGGGAAAGCAACTGAGGCTCGGGCTGTAGCTCAGTTGAAGAGCACTTGCCTGGAGTATACGAGAGCATTCACAGAGCATGCGCCCCCACAGCAGAGTAGAAGGAAACTGATGTGTCTCCTGAATAAGGGATGTGTGTCCTCACAGTGTGATCTGATAGCTAGGAAAAGAATGAATACCTGGATGCACATTGAAAGTTTACCCAAAGAAAGAAAGCACACACAAAACTACACAGAGTGATTCTCCCCATAGGAGATGTCTAACAAGCAGATCAGAGTTAGAGGCCAAGAAGGGAGAGCAGGTACTATCAGTGCAGAGGAAAAGACAGCAGGGCCCTGGGTTTTAGCTTAGTTTTGTTTTTTAATGTATGTTTGTGTGTGTGCGCGCGCACATATACACAGTCACTACATGTGTGGAGGTCAGAGAACAACATGGCAGGAATAGGGAGCTCAGGGATCAACTTAAGTTGTCACACCAGGTGAGTCTTCCCCCCCTGGCTGGGGAGCTGTATGGACCATCTCCTGTGAAGTCTCATTTATATGTAAACTGTCTTCCAAAGAGTCTTCTTTCTGTGGAGTCCTGTTTTTGTGTGGACCTTCTTCTGCGAAGTCTCGTTTATATACAGACTGTCTTCCAAAGAGTCTTGTTTCTGTGTGGATTGTCGTCCTCTGTGGAGTCTGGGTTTTTTTTTTTTTTTTTTTTTGGTGCGAACCATCTTCTGTGGTGCTTGTATCTGTGTGGACTGTCTTCCATGGAGTCTCATTTGTCTCATTTATATGAGCTATCTTCCAGGGAGTCTTGTTTCTGTGTGGACTGTCTTCTGTTGTACTTGTTTCTGTATGGAGTATCTCCTATAGAGCCATGTTTTTGTCTGGACTGCCTTCTAGGGAGTCTTTTTTCTGTGTAGACTGTCTTCTGAAGAGTCTTGTTTCTCTGTGAACTGTCTTCTGTGGAGTCTCGTTTTTGTGTGGATTGTTTTCTGGGGAGTCTCGTTCTTGAGTAGACTGTCTTCTGTGGAGCTTGTTTCTGTATGAACTGTCTCCTGTGGAATCTTGTTTCTGTGTAAACTGACTCCTGTGATGTTCTGTTTCTGTGTGGACTGTCTTCTGTGGTAATTGTTTCTGTGTGGACTGTTTCCTGTGATGTCTTGTTTCTGTGTAAAGTATCTTCTGTAATGTTCTGTTTTTGTGTGGACTGTCTTCTGTAGTGTTCTGTTTCTCTGTGGACTATCTTCTGTGGTGATTGTTTTTGTATGGTGTGTCTTCTGTAGAGTCTTGTTCTTGTGTGGACTCTCTTCTTTGGAGTCTTGTTTCTCTGTGGACTGTCCTCTGTGGTACTTGTTTCTGTGTGGACTGTCTCTCGTGAGATCCTCTTTTTGTGTGGACTGTCTTCTATGGTGGTTATTTCTCTGTGGACTATCTTCTGTGGTGATTGTTTCTGTGTGGAGTATCTTCTATAGAGTCTTGTTCTTGTGTGGACTCTCTTCTGTGGACTCTTGTTTCTCTGTGGACTGTCCTCTGTGGTACTTGTTTCTGTGTGGAATGTATCTTTTGAGATCTTCTTTTTGTGTGGACTGTCTTCTCTGGTGGTTGTTTCTTTGTGGATTGTCTCCTGTGATGTTTTGTTTCTGTGCAGACTGTGTTCTATGATGTTTTGTCTCTGTGGGAAGTGTCTTCTATGGAGTCCTGTTTCTGTGTGGACTGTCTTCTGTGGAGTCTTGGTTTTGTGTGGACTGTCCTCTGCAGTGATTGTTTCTGTGTGAACTGTCTTCTGTGATGTTCTGTTTCTATGTGGACTGTCTTCTGCGGTGCTTGCTTCTGTGTGGACTGTCTTCTGTGGTACTTGTTTCTGTGTGGACCGTCTCCTGTGATGTCTTGTTTCTGTGAAAAGTATCTTCTTTGGAATCTTGTTTCTGTGTGGACCATTTTCTGTGCTGCTTGTTTCTGTGTGGACTGTCTCCTGTGATGTTTTGTTTCTGTGTGGACTGTCTTCTGTGGAGTCTTGTTTCTGTGTGGACTGTTTCCTGTGGAGTCTTGGTTTTGTGTGGACTGTCCTCTGCAGTGATCGTTTCTGTGTGGACTGTCTTCTGTGATGTCCTGTGTCTATGTGGACTGTCTTCTGCGGTGCTTGCTTCTGTGTGGACTGTCTCCTATGATGTCCTGGTTTTGCGTGGACTATCTTTGATGGTGATTGTTCTGTGTGGAGTATATTCTGTGGAGTCTTTTTTCTGTGTGAGCTGTCTTCTGTGGTGCTTGCTTCTGTGTGGACTATCTCCTGTGATGTCCTGGTTTTGTGTGGACTGTCTTCTGTGGTGTTCTGTGGATTGTCTCCTGTAGTATTCTGTTTCTGAATGGGCTGTCTTCTATGATTGTTTCTGTGTGGGCTGTCTCCTGTCATGTCTTATTTCTGTGCAGACCATCTTTTGTAATGTCCTGTTTCTGTCTTGACTCTCTTCTATGGTGCTTGTTTCTGTGTGGACCATCTTCTGTGGGATCTCTTATCTTTTTATCTGCTTTAGCTAGAATTGTAGTCCACTGAATAACGGGCAAAACAAATGACCCTGATTTGTGAGGTTCTTTCAAGGTACAGTTTAGATGACATTTATTGAAATCCTTACAAGAGTACCTGGAGCACAGTAGGAGTTCAGTTAGTGCCACTGGCACACAGCAGGTGCTTAGCAGTGTGACTTGTTTCTGTTTGTTCTGATGTTGGTTTGCTGAGTGAAACTCAGAGACTAAGCGTGGATGGTTTGAGATTTTTTTCCTGTTGAGCTCTCAGAATGCCAGGGGCAGCACTGACCTGTGTAGACAGACTTTCTCTATGACAGGAGTGAAGTGGAAGACTTGAATTCTCTTTTCATTGCTTTCTGACCAGGGCAGAGGCAGGTTAGTGCAGCTGTTGGGAAGTGGCTCTGCCTTTGCTGCCAGGGCTTGAAGTAAACTCAAAAGCCTGGTGAGACAAGAGCTGCGGGATGCGCCCACGCCCTCCTTTGTGTGATCAGGAAGCTGGAGAAGCAGGACACAGAGAGACTAGCATGGGATACATGGGATGCTGGCTATACCCACCTTCCATGTGTCTGACTTTAGGATACATTGAAAACACATTGAAGAGGGCTTAGCTTGCAGCTTGAGGGTGTAGTAGTACTTTCCCATCATGGCCAGCAGCCACAAATAAGAACATAGACACTTAGTATCAGTTATTACACCAGTCATAGCGACAAGTCTCCACAGTGTGCAGATATCGCACAGCGTGTGAGCAGAGCGTTTCCCAGGCATGCAGAAAGCCTCTGTGCAGAGGTGTCTGGTGGGGAGGGAAAGAATGATTTTCTTGGGAACCCAGTTTGATAGCTTTGTTGCCTTTCTCCAGGACCTCATGTGACTGACCACCTGTCCCTTCTATGCAAACCGATTTCACCCCTGTCTGAGCTCTGTGTTCACTAGGGGAGAGTGAGGGTGAGATCCTGGACGCTGACATTTCTAGTGAGTGTGAATACCTACAGATCAGGGATCAGTGGAGGTGTCAGCATGCCATACCCTGTCACACTGTGAAGCTAATGGCCTCGGCAGTGCCTCATCCTGGCTGGCTACCCGGTTGGCTTCTGTGCATCCTACAGCCCAGCCATCACCGTGGAGAGCACATGCTTGTGAGCAAGGAGAGTCCCTTGTCAGTCACTAAGAGTCCCTCCTATGATCTTCCTAGTTTTCCATTCTTCTCCAGGGGACCTGCTGCCCCAGTTTGTCAGGTAGTGACTCTAAAGAAACCTGACATTTTACCATGTTTGCTTAGGAAGACAATATAAGACAGCTAAAGAAAAAGACACCTGTCAGATCAGGGCCGACCCAAGAAATCCCCATGTCTTGTCTCAAGAAGGAAAGAACAAGAACAGGAGTAGAGTTTCCCTGGCGTATTTATTCCTTGCCACAGCACAGGAGTCACTTTGCACAGGGTTCTGATGCTCGCTGCTGAGGGGTCCCTGGCTCTGTCCAGGGCGTTGGGAAGCAGATGGTAGGCATGTCATTTCTCATGACACTGTCACTCTTTGATACAAACTCCCGTTCCCGCTGCTGGGGCATAGCTTTCTGTATGACCAGCTTGAGCTTGTGGAAGCCTGGGAGCAAGGGCAATGTGCACACACCTTCCAGGCCCAGTGATGCCTTCTTTAATAGAAATCAGGGTATGGCTGGGACACATGGGATGGCCCAGCAGGTGACCTGAGTTCAATCTCCAGAACCCACGGTGGGAGAACTGACTCCATAGATTGTATCCCCTCCCTCACACACACACCATATACATGTCCCCCACCCCACATACAACATGTATGCATATAGTAACAATAAAATGGTTTTAAAGCTAGAGATAGTGACTGGGTCTCCATTTTAAATGTTCTCAGAATGATACATAAGGAGACACTAGAGGAAATTATTTGAAATACAGCTAATGATTTATATATTTATGAAATCAATTCTAGATATATTTTCATCTTTTTAATTAAATTAATTGCATATATGATGTCTCTTTGCTTGTGGGAGTTAGCATGTTTTTGCAGGGGCCTGCAGAGGTCAGAAGAGGGCGTCAGATCACCTAAAGTGATCATAGTTTCATCTTAAATGACACAGACAAGTTTACCAACCACATGTGCTGATGTGTCCCAGGGAAGTGTAATCATATGTCAGTCAAAGGGAGGACCCTGTGTGGGAAGTAACCAAGGAACTCACCATGCTACCCCACAAGCGGAAGGAGAGCCAGAAAGTCCTGAGCTGGTACAGCATCTGCAAGTGTGCTAACTAGAGAAGGACGGAGATGCTGAAGCTCAAGGGGGCTTTCTTGTGTGCAGTCTGCCCGGGATTTTAATGTTAGTTGTGGTTGAAAGCTGACCTCACGAGCGTGTGCTTTCCCAACAGGGTCTCATCACTACGCTTGGCCTACAAGGATCTCGAAATTCACATGAAGAAAGATGAAAACTCGAACCTGAGAGGCCAGAAGAAGGTGGAAGCCGAGAGGCTAGGCATGGGCTTTGGGAGCTGCAGGAGGTACGGTCTGCTTGGCCAGGTCAGCCCAATGCAGTTTGCTCACGGCAAAGGGCTCTAGGGGCTCATTTCAACCTCAGACCATTTCCCTGGTGCTCTTCCTTTCCTGGTTGTGTGGCTTTGCTTTGGTATTTAGTATATTATGGCTCTGGCTGGAGCTTCATGGGTAGTATGTGCACAAAACCCTAGGTTGGATCCCCAGCACCATAGAAACCAAGATTGGGGGTTCACTCAAGGTCATTCTGAGCTACAAGAGTCCATGTCTGTCTCAAAACAACAAGTACAGACTAGCTTTAGGGTAAAGCTAAGTATAGCGGTGTGCGCCTCCAGTCCTAGCACTTAGGAGGTAGAGGCAGAAAGATCAGGAATTTCAAGGCCAGCCTCGGCTATATAGCAAGTTCAAGACTAACCTAGGCTATGAGATGGGGCGGGGAGGGGATGTGATGACAGATGGCGCACATGGTTCTTGAAGAGAAGGAAATGGGCCCGAGTTTCCACGAAGTGTGCACTGGAGTGGATGTCTTGGGCACACCCCATGCATGTGGCTGTCTTCTTCCCAGTCCTGCCCTTCAAATGCCCTCTAGCTTCCAAAGCTCACATTGGGTTTCCCAGCCCTTCTGATGAGCTTATGTTTGTTCAGAGTACAGCTTACAGCATTTTTTTGTTCAGTAAGACACAAGCCTTTAGGAAGCCAGTGATGTAATACTTCCTATTTTATTTTGTCTCCTCAAGTGGCATCTCCCATTCCGTGACTTCAGACATGCAGACCATCGAGCAGGAGTCGCCCACACTGGCAAAGCCAAGGAGGAAGTACCAGGAGGACCCAGACGAGTCGTACTTCACCTCCAGCCCCAGGTGGGTCTCAGCCTGGCCGCAGCCAAGGGTGCATTAGGGGTTGTCCTTAGGAACCAGTACACATCAGTGCCTGGCACCGTTTGAAAGCTCTGGCTGATGCGAGTCTGTGCATAGGACCAGAGGGCAGGGAAGCAGTGAGGGGCAGTGCTTACAACCAGGAAAATGTTTGTTGCTACAGTCAGCAACTGAAGATTAAAGTCAGAGGTGGAGGAGATGTTTCTGTACTGTGAGGAGTGGAGAAAGGCAAGGGCTGGAGCATACCCAAACCTTCAGTGGCTTCTGTTGAAACACTGCCTTCTGAAAGCTCCCACAGAGTCTGGGAGGAGATAGCATTTGCAGATGGATTTATTCGGGAAAGCCATGGCTGTTCTCTGAGGGGATCCGATGGTACTAGGACAGCCTGCTTCTGTCCTTTTGTGTCTACTGTCTGCTGAGGCAAAACATGAGACTGGCGTAAGGCTGAATGTGGTGAGGACAAGTGTCATCTGGAATATGTCACCTTGTTAGGGCCGCCCAGAAGCTGTCTTCACAGGAACTTGGGGTGGCTTTGACACGTAGGTGCAGAAACCGAGCAGCCTAGGTTGAAGGCTGACTGTGCCGCATATGAATCGCATAGCAGTGGCCGGGTTATTAAGATGCTCCCTGCCACAGCCTCCTCATTTGTGTGAAGTCTCCTGGTGGTGCCTGCCTTGCGGATCCATAGGAAACGCTGAGGCACTGTGGCTTGCCTACTGTAGTCTCGGGACTTGTCCAGAGACATGCGGCTCAGCGAGTGGCCAGGTGGGCAGCTGCTTTAACCACACCAAGGACCCTTTCACTTCTGGAGTTGGTGGGGAAGGGACACATCTGTCAGTGACGGTGCTGCCATGGTCACAAAGGCTTCCTGGTGTCACGTGGCCGCAGACATGGATGTCGTAGTAGAACAGACGTAGGTTGTTATCTAGAGTAACTATGAAATCACTGACTTTCCTATACAAGCTCCCAGGTAAGGAGTCGTGCAAATAGCTCTTTCTTTGTTTCTAAGCACAGCTCTGAGTTATCTGAGTCCCAGTATTTTAGAGAGAGTTTTCATAGCTTGCTGGCATTGTCAGAGGCTGCCTGCTCCCTACCTGCCTCTGACTTCAGCAGCATGCTTAGGTCTGCCCATACTGTGCATTTGAGAAAACCGAAATACAACTGACACGAGAGAAATTCAGGATTGTGTCTAAACCTGGACATGTCAGGCCATTTCACACACGGTTTAAGGAGGGCCGGGCGAGGGTCATAATGCCCATGGAGGGTGGTAGGAAGAGACAGACTCACTTTCATGGAGCCCCACTTCCAAGCTTGGGTAGCAGTGTTGGTGAGAGAAAGGGTTCTGGATAAGGTCGCCTGCTGAGTGGGACCTTTCCCATCCCCACAGCCTCAGGTCATGGAAGAACTCGTGGGGGGCTTATGTGTGCCTTGGAGCCTCCAGCATCTTCTCTCAATTAGAAGGGTCAGCCCCAAAGGCCGCTGTGCCGGGGACCAGTTTCAGTTTGAAAGCTAGGTGTTTGGATGTAGAGCAGAGAGATTTGGGTGCCATGCAGATGGTGACCTGCAGGTTATTTAGGGACAGAAGCATCGCTCTAGTTCACTTGATGGTCACAGGGACAGAGCAGGATTGCATTGGCTGATTTGGCACCAGAGATGAAGTGAACACACTCTGAAAGCCAGCATGGCAGTGCCACAGAGTGCTTTTACTGCTTCCAAATTATTCATCAGCCATTAGAACTTGCATATTATGAATTATGGAAGAGTGCTGTTTCTGTTAAGCAAGGGGACATATTTTATAGTGGATTCCATTATTTCCTGATTATAAATGATGCATTGTTATAATACCACATTCAGAATAATGAAACTGGACTTTTTGCTGAGCCCCATGGAGTCCAAATGGCCTTTGGTGGGGGGCGTGACTGGTGACAAGACAGCGTGCTAGCTGCTAGAGGCTTTTCCTGGGGACCTGTAGCAATGTGTTCAGAGGGGAGGAAGGTGCAGTGTGAGGACCAGCATGAAGGAAAAGCTTCTGAAAAAAAAAATGGACCCAGAAATCAAAGCCCACGCTGGGTGAAGGTCAGCGATGGGGAGAGCTGCTGAGTCCTGGCATGGGCCTGATGGCTGTGCAGGCTGGCTGGCATAGAGTGTTGCCTGTGAGTGACTAGGTGTCCCCTACAGAGTGCCAGCACATAGAGAGGTTCTCGTGGACGAGTGAAGACTTGGGAAGACCAATGTATGGACTTCTCAGGGCACCCACGCAGGTGACATCTTGTTTTGCAATTTAAAGGCACCCAGTGCCCCTCCAGTCCAGATAAGGTTTTCACTCACATAGATGAAGAATGTTCGTGTCTCGGAGTGGCCATCTCCAGAACACTGAGTGCCATTGTTGAGAAAAACCTGAGTGCCCCAGCCCCTCCCCATCTAGTGCTGACACTCCCCCCACCCCGCCACGTTCTTCTGAGGGGTCAACCAGCCTCTGGACCCTATGGCATCACAACTGTCCGAGGGAATGGCAGTGTCAGCAGCCTGAGGCTACAACAGAGGGACCCCTCTTCCTTGAAGCCTTCCGAGAGTGGGGTCAGCAGGAGCGCAGCTGCTGGGAGGACCTTGGAAATGGACAACTCAGTCAGCTCGTGTTCATTGCCACCTCTCGTGTCATGTCTGCCCTTCATCTCAGCACATGACTGGGCAGGGAAGTCAGTTCCCCATACCCAAAAGCAAGAGACCCAAAAGGAGTGAGCATCCTTAAGCACTCCTTAGTCACACTCTCCTCTTGTTGTAGCAGGTACTTTGATGACTCCATGGAGATAAGAGGCAGCTCCTTTTCTAGCTGGGATGACAGTGCCGATTCCTACTGGAAGAAGGACAGCAGCAGAGACCTCGAGCCTGCCGTGCAAAGCGCCAGTTCTTCAGACAGGTGGGAGCTGCAGGCTGGGCAGCCAGGGGCTTCTCTCATAGGACCAGGGGCTGATATATGTGCCACGAGTGTCCTATGCTGCTTTAGGAAGCGGCTGTGTGTTGGGGGCACATGCCGGAAACATCTGTGGCTGTTAGAAAGCAGGTGTGAGGGCCGGTTCCTTGGGGGAGTCTCAGTCCATGTGTCAGGGTGACCTGGCTTGTGAATGAGTCACCTTCCCCCATGTTTTCATAGTCTTGACTAGCACACAGTCATGTAGTGACCACTAAGAACAAGGCCCAGGACATTCTGCTGCTGCCAAGTCCCTTGCTCTGTCCTCAGCCCTGGCCCCTGCTATTCTCTTTTTGGATCTTCCCACGTGGACTAGTCATTCAGTAAAACTGGCCTTGCCTGATCTATGAACTCGGCAGTCAACCTGACTGGAGAGGTCACCTGACTGAGGTAGCCTGGCCTCCGCCTCCACAGCTCTCCTGTTGAAGCAGGAGCCCATCATTTACTGTCCACACCAAGGAACCTTACACGTGTAGCTCAAGGTTGCCCCGTAATCGGATGTCCTGTTACCCCATGCGTTACACTCTGTTGATGGCCAGTGTTGTCCTGCGCAGTCACAGTGTGGGCGGCATCGGCTAACACAGTTAAGATGGGAGACTCCACATAAGTTGAAGTGTGAACTGGGCTTGCTTCACCGCCCTTGGTGTGACCAACCCTGGCTGTTTCTCCCTCTAGGCCTAGCACTCGCAGGAAGCCAGACTACGAGCCTGTTGACAACACAGATGAAGCCCAGAAGAAGTTTGGCAACGTGAAGGCCATTTCCTCAGACATGTACTTTGGAAGACAAGCCCAGGCAGATGTAAGGGTGCAGAAAGCTCCCACAGGAGCCCCGAGAACCAGGAAAAAAGCTGTGGGGACCATGAGAGGGTGGGCTGCTGAGGGAGAAGAGGCCCCCAGACAATAATGCTGAAGCCAGGACCAGAGCCCAGGTCTGCCTGAGCACCCTGGGCAGCTGTGGAGTCAGGAACCCCGTCTCATTGCTCTTCTGCCTCTCTGGGGAGAGTGGCCATCAGTCAGTAGCTTTTGAGTAAATTCAGGTTTTTATGTAGCAGTAATTGCTTTTGATCAGTTTAACATAGTTAAATGGAGCCTGGAAATGTTTGTGGGCGACAGCTTCATTAGCCAGCTGTCACCTGCCTCAGAAATGAACACAGTCATCCAGGAGTCTGGCTAAGCTGGGGCCAAGCCCACTTCCCTCTAGTGCTCAAGTGCAGAGGGGCTGGTGGGGCTAGAACTCGGGCATGCTGGTTTGTCTCTTAGAGGCCTCATTGCCAGAGGGGCCTCCAGCTCTTCTGCTTCGTTTACTTTAAATGTGTTAATGGGCTGGGGTACACTCCCTCCTGCAAGTATGCCTGCCTGGCATACTCAAAGCCCTAGGTTCTATCCCCGGTACCACACACACACACACACACACGTGCACGCTTGAACACACACAAATTTGAAGGACTTGAAGTTGATGGGCTAAGCGGTGTGCCCAGCACTGAGGGGTTTCCTAGGGTGGCTGAGAGCAGTACTGAGCTCTGGCTGCCCCTCATCCTGACCTCACTGACAGTGATGTGGAATGCTGCCCTGCGCTGCCGTGACCCACTCCACTGCAGAGCACACCTTTATTCCACCTCCAGGGCCTGGCTGGGAGTGACACAGGAGGTAGCCAAGGGGAGCAGACTCATTCCAGTTCTCTTACTCTGCCTTTTTCTGTCTAGTTTGAGACCCGAGCACGGCTGGAGAGGCTCTCTACCAGTTCCTCCATAAGCTCCGCAGATCTTTTTGATGAACAGAGGAAACAGCCAGCAGGTGAGGGGTCATGGGGATCCCAGCATGTGCGATTCCATAGGGCCTTTCCCTTGCCAGGATCCCATGCCCCATCACCTTTGCCCCGTGTGAGCAGTGAGAGCTGACGCTGTCCTTCCAGGGTCCCATGAGAGGAGACCACATCATGAAGTTTATGCCATAGCACCCTTGTCACCTGGCAGTTTGGTATCCAGAACATTGTGAATACAGGAGGGGGGGCTCCTGCGAGGTGCCCGCCACTCACTAGCTGGGGTCATTGTTAGCCTCCATCTCCTGCCTGTGGAGGAGTTGCACCTGAGATACTGTGTAAGGTACCAACCACTTGGGGTACTGCACCCAGGAGTCACCTCAGGCCCCTCAGCCCTCAGGATACACAGGCACTGAGGAGTGGGTGGGGAGGAAGAGCCTGTCTCTGCTGCCCCTCTACATCCTGCATGAGGTGTCTGGTCATCCTAGGGCTGGAGTCTAACCATGTGCCCAGATGTGAGCCCCAGAGCAGGCCCTTCACTGCCCACCCAGAGAAATGCCTCCCACTTTTACCTGTGCACTCGCTGTCCCAGAAGGCCTGCCTGCGTGAGCACCTACACAGCCTCCACCAGGCCACAGGGGAGAGTGAAATGACAGCAGCCTCTGAGGTCATTTCAGGAGAAGAACCAAGAAGGGGTCTCTGCAGCCAGTGCTGCAGGCTGAGGTCTCTGCGTGCTGGTTTGCATCATTTATTTCACAACCAGACTGGCTTTGGCCTACAGAAGGCCCGGGTGTTTGTGTGGGGTGACCATCTTGGCAGCCACACTGCCTTTGAGACATTGGAGTGGATGCGGCTTCAACAGAGAAGGTGTAGGGTTCATCTCAACTGCCTGGAACCTTCTGTGTAGAGGTTCGGGCATGTGTAGTCATTATGGCCTCAGATACAGTGGCACTGCCAGCTTGCCTGCTTAAGTGAGGAGAGCCGTTCTAGGCTGGAGTGTGCTGGTGCAGTGGCCGGCAGGTAGGCAGCAGTGTGCAGAGAGCCTGGTGGGCCAGCCTTGTAGGTCTGCTGCCTGACGGGGCTAGGCTGGACCATGGCGCCTGTGCCCATCCTTCCTGACTGCAGGCAGGGACTGTTGTTGGTCAGCCACTGCCCAGCAAGTCTTTAGCCAGCAGTCTGCTGCCTTTTCACGTCTGACCTTCACATCCTGGCCTTTGTCAGGGCTTCCTGTTGTGATGTGACACACCCCTAGCACAAAGGCCGCACCCCTACTCTGTTCGTGTTGGCTAGTCATCTCGGAACCAGCCCCAAGACCCAGGTTGTTGAAATAGCCCCATGCTTTTTTAATTTAATTTCTTGGAACATTTACTCTGAACATGATTGTTTGTTTAAACACACACAAGAGAAAAAGAGAAGAAAGCTCTTTGAAGCGAACACACCCTTCCGCCCTTCACATTGAGCATGGCCGGCTCAAGCTTGCCTCCTGCCCCACCACCAAACAGAGGGCCCCTGAACTCTGACAGTGGGGCCATAGCAGCAGCTTTGGGGAGGGCCTTTGTGAATTGCTCCCTAGGATGTCAGGCCACCCCCTAACTAAGGCTGGTGGTGTGCTTTGAGCAGAGCTTGCTCCTCTCCCTGCTACTGAGCCCATCTGAAACCCCACCACCACTCCCCTCACGACACCTGCAGCCACCGCCCTGAGCTGGCTGGACAGCCTTACCAAGGATTCATTCTTTGGCGTGCGCTTCAGCAAAGAGCCTAGGCGAGTGTTAGAAGGGATCCTGTTGGCTCATCCTGATCACTCCCATGTATCAGATAAAGCAATCTAGAGCTGCTGGTCCATGCACCTCCTGTGCGATAGATCCTGATGGGGTGGTACTCAGGGCTGATCCCTGCTAGAGAAGATGGAAGGGTTGAGTGAGAAGCATGTGTGGGTATTAAAGCTATCCCGTCACATCAAGGCCTGTGGCCACTTCTATGAGCAGGGCCAGTGAGTATGTGGACTGGGCCATCTGAGAAGGGATGGGGCACTTAGGACCACAGATGCCAGAGTAGAGGGAGGTATATGATAGCCATGTTAGAAAAAAGCTCAGGGCACAGCTTATTCCTTGGTGTTTTTAGCATGCATGCATGTGTGCATCTATACACAGACACCTGTATATATGTGCATGCCTCTGTGTGTATACGTGTGTGTGTGTGTGTGTGTATACGCATGTCCTTGCTCATGCATGCATGTTTGTGGAGGATGGGACTAATAGTCCCACATCACTCTCTGCTCTATTCTATGAGTCAGGGTTTCTTAACCGAAGCCAGAGCTCACAGATTGGACTAGTCTAACCAGCAGCTTGCTCAGGGGAATCCTGTCTCCACCCTTCAAGTACTGGGATTGCTGGTGGGCTGCCATACCTCTCACATTCGTGTGGGTTCTGGGGGTCTGAACGCTGTCCTCACACTTGAGGAATACTGTATCCATGGAGCCATCTCTCCAGCCCCCTCAGTGTCCCTTTCAAGAACAGACTGATGGTTCCAGGGGAATGTCGCCTGTGACTCCTAAGCTCCACACCCATTGAGTCAGCCTACACAGGCATGCAGGCCTACAAACCCAGACCCAGTGGGCTCTCAGGCTTTGCCTGCTTAGTTGTTACCCACATCCATCAGGCAACACTGCCCTGAGACCCAGAGTCTACTTCCACTTAGTGACCTCTGGTGTCAGCAAAGTGTCTACAGTGCCTGCCTCAGAGAAGTAGCTGGCCAAGTGTTTTGATCCTTGTTAGATTCATTATTCTTAAAATCTTAGACTTTTCTCTTGATTTGTCTCCAATTCTGAGAATTTGGTCCATAAATAGCTCATTAAAGAAGATCCATGACTCCGCTGGAGGGTGAGAGGGCAGAGCCCTGAGTTCTGGGTATCCCCATGTTCTTCTGTCTGGAGCTGCTCCCATGACCCAGACCTTTCTGCGTGTGTTGTGTCTGTCATTCATCCTTGCTGCCCACTGGCCTCTTCTCTGCCAAAGCAGCCGGCACACTGCTGAGCCCTTGCTCGCGGGCTGGTACCCTGCACTCACACCTAGTCACCAGCTTGCAGCCTGGCTCCTGCCTCCTCAGTTCTCCCTCCGGCCAGCTGTCCTGGGCCTGTGGGGACTGTGCAGGCCTCCCCATGCTTGTAACTCACCCACAGCAGGAATGAGGTACCTGGTGACCTGACTACAGCAGGACCCATCTGCTCTTTTCTGTGCCCTTGGCACTTGACAAAGCCCTTGTCACAGGTGTGCTGAATGAATGATCGAACATCTGGAGAATGAATGAATGCGATATCCTCCACACCTGGAGCGTGCCTGCTCCAGCACAGGAGCCACAGGCCTCCCCAGCACCTCCAGTTCCCCATGGCCACTGCTGGCTAGCATGTGTCTGATTCCATCGGAGCCTTGAGAGCCACTGGACAGAGTGCCGTGGTGGAACCAGTACTGCCCTCTGAGCCCTGCCCCACTGTGTGGTCATCGTTGTGGACACAGCCGTAGCTCGGGAGGTGACAGCAGAGACAGAGTGGGTTCACAGAGCTACACATGTCCTTAGAAGAGGGGCAAGCTGGCATCTCTCTGTGTGCAGGAAACTACAACCTCTCGAACGTGCTGCCCAACGCCCCAGACATGGCGCAGTTCAAGCAAGGCGTGCGATCCGTTGCTGGAAAACTCTCTGTCTTTGCCAATGGAGTCATGACATCCATTCAGGTGAGTGGCGCTCCGCAAGGCTCCCAGGGAACTAGGCTGTAGCTGTGAGCGCGAAGCTGTGCTGCAGACTACCCTGAGACAGAAAGATCTCGAGTTCCAGACCTGCCTGGGCTGAGACCCTGCCTCAGGCAGCATTTTCTAAGTTCTTACTGGGATTCATATAATTCCCCAGTTGTGAGTTTAGAATGAAGAATTCTTTTTTTAAAAATTAGATTATTTTATTTTATAGGTCTGCATGTTTTACCTGCATGTACTGTGTATCATGCCTGGCCATACAGAAGGGATTAGGTCCCCAGAACTGTAGTTACAGATGGTTATGAGCTGCCATGTGGGTGCCAGAATTAAACTCAATCTCCTGCAAGATCAACACTCACTATAAACTGCTGGGCCATCTCCCAGCCCCACAGAAGAGAGGATTCCTAAGCTGAAAACCATCCACCGTCTCCGTGTTCTGGGATTCTGCTGTTTTGTTTTAGTTTTAGACTATGAAGTCCTGGCTGGCCTAGAACTCACTCTGTAGCCCAGGCTGCCCTCTAACTCACAGAGATCCACCTGCCTCTGCTTCCCAAGTGCCGGGATTGGAGGCATGCGCCACCACTACCTGTGGCTGCGTATCTTTCTAAATGAAGAAGGAGTCCTATTGCCGTGTGACTGTGTGTTCTCCATTCCTCAGTGGCATGTTCTGCGTGGCTCTCTGGAACTACAAATTCTCCAGAAGCCGCTAGCTGTGGGGTGAAAATATGCTTATCTAATTTGCTTGTTCCACACACTGGACATTGCACTGTTCGCTCTCTTTTTGAGTTTTATTTGTATTACTCTATACTCTGCTTCCCGGTTACCTAAGGACGTTTTCATAATGTATAGAATTTCCTCCATACCTCTGCCCTTCGCTTGTGCCCTCCCAAATCGGTCCTCTTAGTCCCCTGGACAGTTTTGCTTCTACTTTACACATACATACTTTTATATATCTGTGAAAATATTATCTTTCTGTGTTGGACTTAATTCACCTAATATACAGTAAGGAAAAGGCGGAGCCTGTTTGTTAGGACAGGGAGGACTTCTCTAAGCTTGTGAATGGCTTGGGAAGTGCAGTCATTTGGAAGCATCCTGTTGGGTGAGGTGTGGCCCGGAGGAGTAGACCGGGTCGACGCTGCCCCTTCTGTGTCCATGGAGGCTCTTAGTCTGCAGACAGACACTGCTGTGGCTTCGGTGGAAACGTGAGGAAAGCCCTCCATGGAACAAGCCTAAGGCTGCAGAGGCTTGGGGCTCTCCTTCCCCCTGGCCCCAGTCCTCCTGGCCGTCACTGTCCCTGCTTTGTGGGTGATCATCCTGTTTTTAGAGTACTCCCACTCCTGTCCTGCACTTAAGTGATGAAACAGAGCAAAGACTAAACCTCTGTAAGATGCACAGGGACCAAAATCGAGGTTTCAGACTTGAGACAGTCCCTCAGTGCTGGCCCCTGCCTTGCAATCCTTAGTACAGCCTGGAGCTCTAGACTTTGCTTGGGCAGCTCACTTAAGGTGTAATCCAGGCAGGTCTCCAAACCCCACTCACCTCCTGCCATAGAGACGCTGAAGCCGTGCTGCCAACCCTCATCTGCTCTCTGTGCCAGGAGCTGGGTGCCCGCAACAACGGCCATGGGTACATGCACAGGAGGAGACAGATGCAGTGTAGTGGAGTAAATGTTGGTCTGGTTCTCTCTAGGATCGCTACGGCTCTTAATCCTGGTGCCAGGCTGTACCTAACCTGGTAAAACTCCACTTCAGACGGACCTGGGACCACATCTGGCTGCACCGAAGCCCCAGCTGCTGTGCAGGCAAGTCCTGCTGGTTGGCGAGGTGCCTGCACACTCGGAGTGCGCGTCTTTCCTTTGAGGCACCCCCATTTCTATGTAGTGAGCTCTGCTTTCATTTCTGGTTTAGCGTAGCTCTTTGTGTCAGTTGAGCACATCCTTGCTTTATCTTTGTGGAATCTTCAGTTCTAAGAGCCGGGAGCCTGAGCTGCGGGCTCCTCCCACTGCTCCCTGAACTGGGAACCTTCCCTGGAGCACCTGAGAGTCTCCACGGACTGTGGGCTCAGGGCTGCCAGAGCTAGCTGGTGCTGGATAGGCCAGAGAAATAAAGCCACAGCACATGCTTCCCTCTGCAAAGGCGCAGACAACAAAAACCAGACCAGAAGTGCCCGGCCTCTCACTGACAGATCGCTTCCTGTGTCCCTCACACAGCGAGGAGATTTCAAACAACACCTAAAGCCATCTGTCACTTTGTAAATTATTTTGTACATTCTCTACACTTGAAAACGATCCCCAATCAGTTCTTTATAACAAGCCCGAGCTTCCACAGTGCCAAGGGAGCTCATTGTGACGTGGTGACAGGTGTTGCAGGGCCAACTAAGGGCTCCCAGTACACCTAGAAATCACCCGAGGCGGCCATGTGACTTCAGGATCAGCTCAGATTCGGGGAATGGTAATTATAATTGGGTGATTTTGTTAATATTTTTTATCTTGACCTTGATGTTCCAAAAGCTACAGGATAAATGTAAATCGATAGTCGTTTGGCTGTGTTTTAGACAGCACCAGAATATATTGTTCAGCACAGTAAAATATATTTGAAATTTGATGAACCAAAATGTGATTTCAGATGATTATTTTGTGAATCTTTCTTAAAAGATCCAATTTGTAGACTTCTAAATATAACGGACAGCACAGCAGACCCTGTTGCCTGTGTTGTCTTTCACCAGAGCCTTTGCAATGACTCACGGGAAACTAGATGTGGGTGACTCTGGCCCCCATCACTCCTGTGTTATGGGTGGGGCTGGCAGGTGGGTGCCTCTGGGAGGGGAGGGGGCTTCCACACATGGGCACGTGCTCTTACTGTGGGTTGTCATGACAGGGTCAGGGTACCCTCGGTATGTTTTCCCAGAGGCCTTGATTACTGACATGCAGGGAAGGAAGGGGTGCTGCTGGTGTGTTACCCCCTTTTCTCTTTATTGGTTCAGTCTTGGGAAGGGAGCCAGGGCTTTGAACATTCTGAGCACTGAGAACTCAGCCCGTCTTTGTCAGGGATGCCCCATGACCACCCGTCCGTGAGGAACACGGCAGCTGCTCATCTTCTGAACATTCATGCGGAACATCAAACACTGACAGCCCACGGGGGGGGGGGGGGCAACTTGCTCTTCTCATCTGCTCCCCGATCTGGGGCCTCCTCACTGGGCAGCAGGCTTGCTTGGGTGTCTTCTGAATCCATGTAGTCAGTGTTTCCAGTAATTCAATGAGGACTCAGGGCTGGGTGCCATGCTGTGCAGACAAGTCCACTGCCCATCCAGAGGCCCTGTCTGAGGTCTGCTGGGGGAAGGGGGCGTGGCTGTGCAGTATAAGGTTTCATTGCTGCTACCAAAAGCTGGTTGTTCATGCTGGCTGAGTGAAACCCATTTTGGATCTTTTCTTTTTTGCGGGGAGGGGGCAGCAACTGGAGAGAAGCTCAAGGGTTAAGAGTACTCAGAAGACTTGGGTTCAATTCCTAGTACCCAGCTGGTGGCTGCAGTTCCAAGGGATCCCACACCCTCTTTTGGTTTTGGCACACACAGTACACAGGCAAAACACCCAAAGATGTTTTAAAAAAAAAAAAAATCTCAAAAAGTAAAATGGGAACGTGGCCCAGCAGCAGAGGACTTGCCTGCTGTGTGTGAGGCCAGAAAAGACAGAAGGGCCCAGAGCCTGTGTTCGCACTGTGTCCAGTGATAGAGACACGGGCTATGGGCTCTTCTGCGCCTCAGTCCCCGTTTGTCCCAATTGTATGTGGTTCCCGTGTCCTACCCAGCCCTCTGCCTCGCTCACTGGGAACTCGGTGGCTGTGACACCCGCTGCAGACCCAGCACAGACTGTTGAAAGGACATCCAGATGACTCTTCTCTGGTTCCCTGTGCCTCACATCTGTGCCGGTCCTACTGAGGCAGCTGGGGTGACATGGGGGGCATTGTCCAGAAAGGATGGGTCTGGCCTAGTTGAACCGGGCCTGGGGCTGAGCCTGGGCTCTGAGGCCTTTCCAGTCCCTGCACCCAATATGACTTCCCACCCCCAGGTGAGTCACATCCAACTAAGCCACACCCCTGGCCACTGAAAACAAACCTCAGCTGAGGAGCCCCTGCACGCAATAGGACTCCGGCTCTTCTTTCTGCCTCCAGCGGCCCTCATCTGGAAAGTCCCTACTTGTATGGGCACCCAGAACTCGTGACTGTCACTATGGGCCCTCAGCTTGCCATATCCAATGCTGCTGCTTCTCTGAGTGGTTATGGTCCAGGGGAGAAGAGAGAGTCTGTAGTGCCTGGGAATGGGGCTGGGAGGTAGGGAGCTGTGTCTGGATCCCGGTAAGGGTGAAGGAGTTTGCTGGAAAGTATAAATAGGTCGTGAAGAAGTTAAGGGCTTGCTAGGTATGAGTGGTTACCTGGTGGAAGAGCCAGGGCAAGAAATGTAGGGTTCTGGCTTACAGATGTGTCTGCCTATGTCCGGAGCTCAGAGGAGGGCCAAGTTGCAGGGGCACCCGTGAGCTATCCGGGTAGAGCTGGCTTTCAAGGACAGACTGGGACTGCCCAGAGCTGGAACCCACCAAAACAAGCCAGAGGTCAAACGAAGAGGAAGCAGCTACAGAAAGAAGGACCAGCCTCAGAAGGGGTAGACAGTCCAGCGAGGAGGCACCCCACAGCCAGATGAGAAGATCTTCAAGTGCGGAAGGACAGGCAGTGACTATGGGCTTGAACCCACCCAGTAAGGTCCAGCAAAGGTGGAGACCATCACTCCCATGTGTCGAGTACTTACTTGGTGCTAAATCAGTTAAGCTTTGTGTTCGGGGGGGGGGGGGAGAGAAAGTGGCTCAGTTGGTAAAGTACTTGCCTAGCGTGTACAAGGCCCTGGGTTTGACCCCTAGCACAATATAAATTGGGCATTGGTGGTGCACGCCTGAAATCCCATGATCCCAGCACTACAGGGTGCAGCCAGGAGGACCAGAAGCTCGGGGTCTTCCTCCACTACATAGTTCATTTGAGGGTATGGGCTACATGAGATCTTGTCTCAAAAAACAATTTTGTGTTCAGTTGCTGTAACCGCACAAAGCAGCCTCAAGATACAGATGTGCTTGGGGTTCAGATTCACATCAAACATCTCAACACAATGATGGCAGCAGGGACCAGACCCCTGCTCGCCATGCCAGCCAGTATCACGGTGGGACTTGCATTCATATGCTCTCAAAATGGCTTCCTCAATTTCAGCCATGGAGTCTGCAACTCTGGGCAGGAAGAAGGGCTCAAAGAGTCCGTGTGAGATGTCCTGTCTTCACCCTTGCCTCTGATGACCACGATTTGCCACTTGGAGCTGCTAAGGAGGAAGGAAATGCTGCCCATTGCCTCTCTGCAGACATAAAGTTCAACCGGGAAGGAACAGGCAACTGGGAGACATGACAACCCAAGTTCAGTCCCCAGCCCAGAGGAGACGATGCAGGAGAGGAGGGGGTACGGCATCAGAACCCCAGCTCCAAGGGCATAGAGATGGATCCCAGGGGCTCACTAGCTGCCAGTCTAGACAAATCGGTGAGCTCCAAGTTCAATGAGAGACAGCCTCAAAAACTAAGGTGGGGGCTGGAGAGGTGACTCAGCGGGTAAGAGCATCTCCTTGTCTTGGAGAGAACCTGAGTTTGAGTCCCAGCACACACACACACACACACACACACACACACACACACACAAGCTCACAACTGTCTCCAACTCCAGCTGCAGGGGCTCTGACACCTTCTGGCCTTCAAGAGCATCAGGCATACGTATGCACTGTGCACAGAGACACATGCAAGCAAAAGACCCATACACATAAGATAATAGCAAAGAGGCCCAGGAACATTGCGTGACGAGTGAAGGTTTCTTCCAGCAAACCTGAGGAGTCCAATGCCTGGGACCCACATGGTACAAGGGCCATACTGACACCGCAGGTCGCCCACTAACAAACAGCCACACATGCGCCAATGCATGTGCATGCCTGTGCATACACACAAGTAAATACACAAGGGTTTAAAAAAATAAGGTGGACAGCCATAGAGGAAAACACCTGATGCCAACCTCTGGCCTCTACACCCAAATGCACAGGTGCACACCCTCTTACACACCCTCATACACATACACACACACACACACACACACACACACGCATACCAGGCAAATAGGTATTAGGAATGAAGTCCCATAGACCCAGTGCCTAAAGCAGGTTTGAGGAGATAGTACAAATGCCTGTGTCTTGTGGTTGAGGAAACTAAAGTACCCAGCTACTAGAATGCACCTCATGGCCACCCAGATGACCAGACTCTGTTTTGACTTACCCAGAAGCCTCAGAGATCTGCCTGGTTCCCTCCCCCATCTCCCAGACTTGATGTATTGGCTCCTGGCCATGCACCATTGTGTCCATGGCCTCAAAGACCAGCCTGGTGTGCTCTGATCTGCAGGAACTTTGATGGCCCTTCCTTTCAACCTGGAACTGGGCAGTCTCTGCACCCTCCCCCACCTCACAGACTGGAACAGACCTTGGAGAAGAAAGGGCTTGGCCAGGTCCCAAATGAGCCAGGTCTTCAGGCTTTGCAGGAAAAATGTCTGTTTCCTGGGCTTCTCCTAGCCCAAACTGGGTAAGCTGGTCTGGAGCCCACACAGTAGGAAATGCAAAAATCCAGACCCCCTGGCCCTGGAGGAGAAGGATCAAAAACTGGGAAATGGTAAAGGGATTGGAAGGTGACTGGATGCAGAGGTGGAGACCAACGAAAGGCAACGGGCTGCTGAGGCCTGGAGAGCTGGAAGGAGCAGGTGGCTACTTGACATATAATATGACCTCCCTAAGAGGACATGAAGTTGGGAAAGGCCTTGGGGAAGGATCTAGATGGAACTAGAGGGGTGAATAAAATCGAAATACATTCTATACATGTATTAGCCTTGCAATAAGCAGGAAATCTATTTTTAAAAAATGACCTTCCTAGCTGCCAGCAGAACATGCTGGAAAGTCCCCTATAGAGTCATCATTGGCATCGTCCCCTTGGGCTCTACAGGGCATGGAAAGGGTCAGTTCCTATTCAGTCCATCCAAGGACAAGCAGCTGAACACAGTGGACCCTGATCAGGCAACTAGCTCTGGGGACCCTGTAGAGTCAGTCATCTGGGAAGAGGGATCTTCAGTGGAGAAAATGTGTAGGCAAGTCTGTGAGGCATTCTCTTGACTGATTGATGTGGGAGGACCCAGCCCCGGTGGTGCCAGCCATAGGCAGGTAGTCCTGGGTTGTATAAGAAAGCTGAGGACCGGAGCGATGGCTCAATGGTTAAGAGCACTGGCTGCTCTTCCAGAGGACCCAGGTTTGATTCCCAGCACCCACGTGGTAGCTCACAACCATCGGTAACTTCCGGTTCAGAGGATCCAATACCCTCTTCTGGCCTCAGCAGGCATTGCACGCGAGTGATACACAGACATTCATGCAGGCAGAATATCATACACATAATAATAGTGTTAATCCCAGCACTCAGGAGGCAGAGGCCGGCGGATCTCTGTGAGTTCAAGGCCAGCCTGATTTAGAAGAGCTAGTTCCAGAGACAGGAACCAAAAAAGCTATGGAGAAACCTGTCTCGAAAATAAAAAAATAAAATAAAATAATAATAATAATAATGGTGATGATAACAAAGACTTTAGAAAGAGAAC